GAAAGTTTATTTGCCAGTAGGATCGTAGCCGACGATGTTAAATTTTCATTTTGTGGCTCGTCGAAAACGGTTTTTAAAACGTACGGACGTGTCGCGTTTTACGACGCGTCCTCAGCGAGGTACACACGGACGTATAAATGAATGAAAATGAGAGGGGAAAATACGACAATAAAGCTCCACGCATGATTTATTTAATGTGACGTAAATTCATCTCATTGAGGATACGAGAGGAATTTCTTTTACAATTTTGTCATTGCATTAATAACCCTCCTGTTCTTCTGAAAAAGATTAGGATAATGAAAGTCCCTCCATTCGAATCTCTGAATAAAGATATTCCACGTTTTAATGGACAGAAAGATGTCTTCTTTATTTAATTGTTTTAATATGCAATTACAGCGCCAACATTAAGCGTCGTTCTTAATTTCTGTGACTTCCGAACGAGAAAAGTAGCGATCCTCTTTACGACAGAGAGTTTTCCTTTTTACGGCAGAGATACAAAACTTAACGCGTCGTAACTTCAAAGCCTGCAGAAAATTTCCCGTCTTAAAACTTTGAATTTAATCGCGCTGCGTCGAAACGTCAACTTTCCCGGGCGGAATAAAAAGATATATTAACGGTTCGATTTAGCAAAATCGCGTTTCCTCATTTATTGTGGATTACTGGGAAATTTATAGTGCTTGGATAACCGTTCCTGGAACATGGTGAATTTGTTTGAGTAATTAAATAATGTCGAGTGGGGAAATTCGCGAAACTTTGCGCGCTCTGATGGGCTTTCAAAGTAATTAGTCGAAAGATAATTGGAATTTCGCAATCAGATCACTGAAACTTACTCGTATCCTTTTGGTGGAAGATAAACACAGAAAATTATAACTTCCCATCGAGTAATCTTCAATTAATACAGCTCTCAATTATATTATTACCATCGATGATAGATTATAGATTATCACAACGTTTGTTCGAGCGTTCGAGAATCGGATGCAATTCAAAATTTCGAAATTGGAAGATAAATATAGTAATTCTAACCAACTTCTCGTCGAGTTATCATCGATCGATGTTTTATTATTAACTTGTACGATTACTGGAAATTTTATTGCACTCCGGTGAATGGAATCGGGTACCAGATTCGGTGAATTTATTATTGTTATAGATATAGGTTACAAGACGAGCCTGCCGGGTGTAATTCTCCCCCGACTCGGTCCTTCGGATTTCCACTTGGATTTCCGCTCGAGTTTTCGTTTCCGCCCGATTTACGAAGACCTTACTTACGTTGCAATTTCGCGTATCGATCGTGGTTGTCGGGAGTTATTCCCGAGATCGTATTGTCTCGCTGAGTTGGCCTTTTCGGGTCGTAAAAAAATGTCCGTAGGTGGAAAACGGCACCGTTGCATCCGGGCGTAATGGCGGAGTCGTAGATTCGCGTGACCAACGGTTGTAAAAATCCACCGGGAACGTGTGCACAATTGTAAACGTGTAACGTGAGCGGCGACGTGGCGGCGGAATAAAAATAAACCGAGTTTTCTGGGCCACTGGTGCACAAATTCCTGGAGCCGCCGGGGGTTGAATCGAAACTCGTGGCGCGAAAGAAGGGTGAATTGTTCGGGAAAAGCGTCACACAGATTAGCAAAACGGCTGTAATTATGTTTTACTCTCGTTCTCTGTACCGTAACAACAACATCCCGACGTGCAAACACTCTTTGGGAAGCAAAAACTTGCGACCAAAAGAGTAGTCGGAATTTTTTTTCGTTACGACTTATTTCTGCGCAAACAGCAAAAATGACTATTTGCAAACCTGCAGCAGTCGCCGTCCGCAAATTAACTTCGCGAATTTATTTCCCAATGAAGCTTAACTACTGTTTGCTCGAAACTATAGGGTTCGTTTGCAAAGTCGAAAGTTTTTCTCGCTTCAGGAACGTGGTTCTCTGAAGAGATTGTTTTACTCTTTGCAAGCTCCAGAAATGTTTTTTCCTCCCTCTTGTGTTCTTTCAACCCTTCGAATCGAAATCACTCGGTTCAGACCTTGCAGTTTGTATCGCGAGTTTGATTAATTTACCAATGAATTTATTTCGATAACTATTTCCGAGTTGGATCGTAAAATCGTCTATTTAAAATACTTGCTGCGAAATGTTTTAATCCCGGAGTTAATTATCGAATTTTAAGGGAAGTTGATCAAAATTTAAAATACTGTTGAAGCAGAACAGCGTTCAATTAATCATCCTTAAAAAGCTAGGACCCTGCAAAAAAACGACAGGGGATTAATAAAGCGGAAGAGAGGATTAAAAATTTATGCTCGAAGGAACTCTTTTTTTATTTCAGTTTTATTTTATTGTTCGTTTCGATTCCTATTTATTCAAAAAAAAAAAAAAAAAAAAATTGTATTGTCTGTTAATGGGCGAAGTTTACCAGCTTGTGAGGGCACAAAAATATCGATTCCTAATGAACGTTTCGCGGTTCACAGAGAATGTTGTCATGATGCACTGTCTGCGCGAAGTCGAGAACTTCGTTGACCTAAATACTAGCGCGATAATAAGGGTGCTCACCTAGCCGAACTTGAGCCCTGCCTCTGCGCGATGCACTGTGTCTAATATTAGCTTGATGCATACGATACATCTAGTTTATGAAAATTTAATTTTACGGCCGCGTCTATATACGCGGGACGACATTTTACGACGCGTTTTAAAAACGATAGACAATTTTTGTCGCTCCTCGATCAGGAAAAGGAATAAATAAAATATCATCGACGCTCAAAACTTTACAAGTTTACGAGTGCTCCGTAACGGGTGCAATCTGTCACCTCGATGCATCTTGCCCGTTTCCTCGAATAAAAGGAACGCGTTTTCCAGCCTTCCGTTCGAGATTCAAAGCAACCTTACGTAGCTGTTGAACCGGATGCTAGAAAACTGGAAGAGTTCTGGGAATCGCAACGATCGATGAACCCCGGCCCGTAGAGTTTTCCCCTTATTTCTCTCCGTTAGAATTTAATTCTTGCAAGCAGTTGGATCGCTCGTTACGAAATAAGCATAGGATGATCTATATTAGATCCCGTGCGCTCGCAGTAGCCCAGAACTTCGTTGACCCAAATACGAGCGCGATAATAAGGAGCTTGCCTATCCGAGCTTGAGCCACGACGCCGCAGGACTCTGCGTCTTTAATCCTTTTAGACGCTCCGTATCCCCCGTGATCTCTGGTCGTCCATTTTTCTTCGTTCTTGGCCCAATCCTCGCCATTTGTCTCGCCGCAGCCTCGACTCGACTGCGTTTTACGTTTGTCTTTGGGTTATCGCCATTCCTCCAAGTTCCTGTGTTTTAATTTCAGCCGTTAAAAGCTGAATTTAAGGCACTACTCGCGTTCGATAGTGCCGAGGTTCAACGCTTGATACGGCAATAAGAATGCAAAAAGTGTATTCTTGTCCTCGAGAATATTCAAGTCGTAGGAGGAATTGCTCTACCTCAGGGTTCTTTACAAGCATGACTTCCGTCATATCAACACGAACCATCGGTTGTCAGCGTTTTCTACCACTCTGACTTTGAACTACTATACTCGCTAAATGTCGCGCATAACGAGGCTCTACGTGACCTTTGGGAAAAAGTTTAAACATCTGTCTATAGATTCGCTTGGTCAACGTTCTTGGGAAAACTCTAGTATAATAGGAACAGCTGTTACGCGCGCTTCTGGGATCGTTTTACTTAAAAAATTGACACCTCTCAGGCGGTAGAATTCCTTTTTTTAGAACGCTGTAATTAGCCTCGAGGTTTGAAAGTTTGACGAATTATCTTCTTCCGTTTTTGTTACAAACTCTGTAAATGAAACTCTTCCATGGTCTTTTAAAATGGTGCTGGGTGAACCAAAGAAGAGCCTCTATATGGATCGCTCAACGTCAAATCGATCATTTTTTGCACTCTATGCGCCAGGAACTTTAACGAAATTCCGACGATATTCGTGGAAGACCTGTTTCGAAATCGATCTCCATCGATTAGATTCTAAACAAAGGTTTACTCGAAGTCATTCGAACGATCTACAACTCTGATAGTAAACTACGTCTCGTTAGAATTTCAATGATACTTGATATTTGAATTCTGTCGATGTTATTGGAGTTCTGCAGGAATGTCAACAACCACATCGTACCAATGTTGACTTATTTCGACACCTATTAGATAACTCGACACAATGTTCGTGAATCGATACCTATCGATACCAGTGTGTCATCGAATCGGTTCCCATCTGCAAATAAACTTCAATCTCCCACTGTCACAGTTTTTATACGAATTTCATTTAAATTATTAATCAAGTATTCTTTTAATCGCAGTACAAGTCAAAGAATTTAAAGAGATACTTATTTATTTGTTCGATGCATAATAACGAATGCCCGGGGTGCTGAAAGTGACGATGAGCTCGAAATTACCGGTTAAAAGCAATTTAATAAATACGCATCGTATCGTAAAATACGTTTAAACGGGGGGGTAACAAGGTACAGGAACGGGGGCGCTTTGAGATCTTTCAGCGCGAAATTGAATCTCTAAAATAAGTTGTCCCCCTCCTTTCCGCGCGATGAAGTTTCCATTTCGTCGTGTCCGGGTCGTCGAGGGGTTAAATACCGCCCGCGGATTAATACAGCCAGAAATACCGTCCCGGTAGGGTTAATCTCGAAAATATCCCGAGTCGCGGCCGAGTTATCCGTCCCCGAAAAAAAACTGTCGACGCAAATCGAGCGGGGAAACCGTCGCGTCGCGACCGATCGATTTCGATTTCGGCCGACTGCGACGTGGAGGCGACGAATATCGACAAAAATACGATAACGATCTAATTAACGAGGTGAACGTACTCTCCGTACGTCGCACTCTCCAGCTTTTAGCAGATTCCTCGTGGCTATTTCCGTGCTCGCGGAGCAACGTCGATGACACCGATAATTGCTCTCTGTCTCCTGGCCTAGCGACACTTGTCCCGTGAACCCACTCGCTCCTCGCCACGACCCTGTGTCTAATACGGAATTAATGGCATTTCAGAGGTTGGTGGCCGAATTGAACAAAGAACAGGACAACTTTATCGCGAGTAAGCACACCGAGAAGGGAGAGGCCGTTGCACCGTGGGTCGGCGCACCCAACGAGGATCTTCTGCGAGAAGAATGTTTATCTCTTTCGACGGTGAGTAATTCCTTTCCGCGTTCTCTGTGCGTGCAAATCCTTGCCAGGGGGCTGGATGGAGAGGGTGCAATTGGATTCCATCGCACAATAGGAACGGCACGTAGCGAACACGGGGCGCTAAAATGTTCTAACAGAGAAACTATGCACCTGCATAGAGACTTTGGAATAGCAGCGAAGAAAGATATTTAGTGTTGGTTGACCAATGGTCCTCCTCCCCTGCTAAGACATAACAGTGTTTTTCGTTATTAATTCAAAAACGAAGCCCCATCCGACATTTTTGCAAAGGAAATCGTTGTTCAGAATCGTCTCAGTTACCCCCCATTTTCGGTTCTTACACTATTTACGGGACACCCTGTATACCCCCGGGCCTCAGAGTTGCACAAAAAGTCTGCAGGTGTTAACGCCTTGTCCAAGAGTCAAATTCCATTGCAAATTCCGTTATTCTTCATAGTCGAGTTCCGCGTGATTTCAACGTAAATGGATAAACTTATAATACAAAAGGAGCATTACTTGACCACCCGGGTTCCAACATTAGTATACTCTCGGATATCTGATCAGTTTCAACCTTCCTCTGCAATATTTCAAAAATAAAAAATAACTTGTCAACTTCCAACAGAGACGAAGAATTAAAAATTATATGATAATAACCCAGACCTAACCCAGACCTAAGAGTATGATCTGAATTGTGACGTATCATTTTTTTAAAAAATCTTCAGTTTTAAAATACGTGTCTCGAGTAAAGTCCAACGGTGCGATCAATAATTAATACGCGTCGTTGCAGCAGACCGACGAAACCTTCGTTAAAAATGCAGATAGCGATGTACGAGACGATCTGGCCGACTCGCGTCTCATCGAATAAAGTCTTAAGTGTCATTTTACGAAGAAGTGCGTTGTAACTCTCGTTATTATTTCAATAATATTCCTCTAAGCAGCGCTCGAGAGGATCATCCTTAATAAAATTTTCATACACGGGATGAATAGCTCCTACGACACGAGGATCTAAAGCTGGCTCGTGCTGGTACTTTACGACCATGCCACTTGAAGGGGCAATTCGTGTCTTGACTCTTTTATTCCCCCCAATATTCGTGTTCTCGATATAACGATCGATGATAAATTTCGATCAAACGAGTCGTCAATACCATATAGAAAAGCGAAGCTCGTTTGTTTCATTTTCCAAAATAGAATCAATATTTTTATATCGAGTGAAAAATAGAATGTATTAATTTGGCAGTTTGCAGAAAATATTATTGCATTTAATCAAGTGTCGTTGATACGGTGATCCTTCTCGACGGTGATTAGATTCGATAGGCGGCCTCGTAATTAACGACGATCGCTAAAGTTACAATTAAATTCCGTAAGTGACGGGCCATTAGTCGCATTAATCAGGAAACCGGTAAGCGGGATCGCAAATTGTTCTTTAATTGGGCCCCGGTTCTCGTTAATCCGAGATTTTTATCGTCGATAGCGTTGCAGGGGAGGAAAGTTTACTGACCAGTCGGTCACTGTACCACGCTGAACGCGAACGGTTTTCCTCGTCGCGTGTCGATGTTCGAAACTATGCCCGACAAAGTTGACGAAGTTCGCTGCATAATTCACCGCGGACATTGATTTCAGAATCAGAGAAACTTCTTAAGGCCCCCGCCGGAAGGAGTTGATTTTGCATGGGACTTCGAGGCTGTGCAACCGATGGCCCAGGCGACCCTCGCTTTGGATTTAAATTTGGAAAAAATGAGATTCGAATTAGTACCCAAAGTGTAAGTTTTCCCTAAACATTCTCTGCGTTTCGCAAAGAGGAAATCAGTTTCTTTCAGGCGTGAATATTTTAATCGCGAGCAACCGTAGACGATCGTTCGATCAACCAACAGTAAACCACTGGGCCGTGCTTTAATTCTGTTCGCGAAATTATTAGTAAAATCAAGCATCTTTAAATGCGCCAAAATTGACCAGCGAACTTTTGGAAGAAAATGGAGAGGAAGCAAATTCACGGAACAATACGGAATTTTTTAAAAGAAGTTGGTTATAGTGGACGGAGGGAACTTAAGCATTGAATATGGAATATGAAGAATAAAGAAAAGAAAAAAGTTAAAATCAGTTCTTTACCGTCGGTAAAAGTGTGGATAGAGGAAACCTTAATTTAATTTTAAGAAATATCTTCGGATTGTTTGAATTCTCTCTTGATGAAGAACGATTTTAATTTTCTACGACCGTCTACTGTTGCTCGTGCAAGTCATCTGAAATACAAAAAATGAAGCTTCTTCCTAAAAATATAGGACAAGAGATAATTTCAGAGAGCTCTGGAAAATCCATTATTGCCAAACTTTTATCTTTTTCTTTTGTAATTCAGATAATTTTACCGTAAGATACGTATTCGGGTCGCTCGTGCGGTACGCGATTGAACTTCTATGGGGATCGATATCTCTTTATTTCGCGAAACAATCGCTGGGACGCGATTCGAAAGCTAATATCTCGATCGCGAGATAACCAAAGGCATTCGTGAGAGCCGCGGCACTCTCGCGCGCGAGTGCGAATCAATTAATTACCGGTCTAAATTAAATCGGTCCGTGTCGCGGGCAGCGTTAATTGGCAATTTCCAAACTGGTGTCCGATTACGGTAAATCGGAACCCGAGGGGCTCCTGTATCGACCTGAAGTTCACACCGAGATTAATTTACCTGTCGCGCAGTATATCGGAAGAGAACTTTTGGAGAAACTACTTCTATCGGGTGTCGGTTCTTCGCCAGAGCCACGAGTTAAACGCAATGGCCCACCAAGCGGAAAACGAACAGAATTTATCATCCACTGAAGGTAATGATCGTGTCAGCTGACCGTCACTTTTCACGCTTAGCCGGTATTATTATTCTACGCACGGTGCACATCACATGCATAATCCTCCTCTGCTCTCGACCCTTTCGACCTCGATCTCAGCCTCGTCCTCCTAGGAGACACTACTCTCGAGGAAGGAACGATTTCACAGACGCAAGTATCCCGATTTTCTAAATCGTTCGCTATCCTTCCTCTTCAGGAAATTATTCCGTGTTATATCGTTAAAAAATTTAATCATACGTATCTGCAATTTTAGTTAATAATTAAAGCAGTAAACCGTGCAGATTTTTGCGAGTATTCCTGAAGAGGATGTATTATTCTGTGGGCGAGCAGAAGGTAAGTTCAGCGACACTTGCTGCCGCGAATCGAATCTTTTTGAAAGAATGGATACTTGCTCGGTACAGTCAGTATTGTTCGAAATATTTCATGAGACTATTGCAACTCAACTGGTAGAATGAAAACTTGAACCACTTCTGTATACATCGAAGTGGAGTAGAAACATTCGATTCTTTTCTGTGTTCCAAACTAATGTCAACAAAAACGTACTCTTTGTCGAATCTGTAATGACGGAATGTGTGAAAAGAACGCTACCAGTTGCGAATTGTGCTCACAATTGAGTTTCCTTGGTTCTCGCGCGGAAAGATGGGGTTGAGAGGTCATCGGTAGTCGATGGTCGGGCATCATCGAGGTCGTCGAAAGGGTCGATCGCCCGGGAGCCCAGCGTGCTACGTAGGTACACACGCCCTTTCCGTTTGTTCTCTGGTATTCGCTGCCTTCTAGTTTGCATTGCAGTTTCGAAACGCTCGGCTCCGAATCTCCTCGAGAGGATATTTCAACCCCTTAATATTGGAGCACGACGCTGGTAAACAATAGCTGGAGAAACGAGGAGCCACGGAGAAAAATCTAATCGACGACCGGCGGGGAAACGTTTACGAGCGTCGTGATCCGTTTACGCCTGATCCACGACTCCTTTTCTGAGATGAGATCTTTCTTGCATGGCACATTTGAGAAGTTTATGCGTCGCGTAGATTTATCCGCCCGTTGACGAGCAGCGAACAACGTGCTGGCGTGTCAAACTGTCCGTGATCTTTACGAGAAACGCTCTTAATCGTGAAACATCGGAGTAACAAGAATTGCATTTAACGTACGAATTCGATGGAGGAAATAGCTTCGTCCGAAACGAGCATCGGTTTAAATTATAAATGTGTTCCAATCCTGGTCACCTGTGGTATTCCTTAGACGGTGTTCACACGATCGATCTATCGTGATCGCTATTTATAAGTCACAGTTAATCTTTGCATGCTCTCATCAAGTATTTCTTATTTATCGAGTGAAATATTCCACAAGTTTTATTAAAAATTACGAGTGATTTTGACCATTTTTGAAAGTTCCACCGTCGATCACCGATGGAAAAAGATTAAACGCAATTTGCGAACGTGTTGTCGGGGCTTTTTGTATCCAGACGCGTTGTCGCGGTCGAAATTATAGAGCCGCGGGTTGATTGAAATCGCGTCTCTATTACCTCCACCGTCAGAATTATAAATGCAACGTTAATACGGGGTGAAACGATAATTCCCGGATTAAATATTGATACCCGTTCGGCGGAAAATCAGCACGCCGGTACGTCGGGAGGCCACCGTCGATCGGGTCCCTAAATCGCGGAACCGGAAGGGGGCCAAGGGTTCTCCATAAATAAACAGACAATGGAATTTCCACCGGGAAGAGACGAATCGATGGGATAAAACGGAAATACAGGAGGCTTTTCGCCCTTCCGCGTTTCGACGACTGTCTCCCGAGCATCGAACCGGTGGTCTTCCCTATCGCTAAATGAGAATTCGATCCGCGGAGGCTCGCTGCGCTTCCAAGAACCCGTTCGAAGTTCACTGGTTACGCGAGATACGGCTCGATAAACCCCCTCGAGTCTTCGAAGTTGGATGGTTTTCTTTGGCGTGAGGACGAGGATCGAAAATGGCCAATTTCGACTACCCCGTTGCAACAGAATTTGAGAATTATTCCATCGCGTTTCATTTGGAACGTTATAACCAGACTGCGGATGTCTATGCATTTATGAGAAATTTTAATTCTCAAAAAACTACAGAATGCACTTGTTATGCAAAAATAGAAGAAATATTTAAAGTAAGATACGAATTATTATATTCAGGGGTTGAGACAACCCTCTAGAAAGCTCCGATTTCATTAATTGTATTAATAAAAATATGAATTTGCATAAAGATCCGCCGTACTTAGACCGTAATTAAGAGTGTTTATAAATAATAGAAAGATCAACGGTTGACATTCGCCGTTTATTTGTTAGATTCATTTCGAGACAAAAACGTGGGTGCGTTAATTAAGCGAGTTGCATTCGCCGTGATATTTCGAGCTTTACATACGCATAATAGAGCTTTCACGAATGCTCTTTAAGGGTAAAGTTGTTAGGGGACAACTATAAATGTCCATGCACGCGGAGCTATTGTATAATACGGACGCGTACGAAGCGGTGAAACAAATTGCAATAATCCTGAAAATGAAACAGCACTGTGAATCCGTACGTGCATAACCCAGTAGGGACGTTTCGAAATGTAGTAACGTACTGGGATCGTTATCAGTCGTATGAACATGTGCAATGGGTTCTGTGGGACTATCGTGACTCGGTTGCTTTTAGGGGAAATTAGTTAAATTGTTTTTTCCCTTTCTTTTAAAAGAACAACGTTCCCTCTTCGCGAAACCTGTCTCCTGCATTGTACTGTGTACGTGTACAGGGTGATTCCCGAAACTGGGTCAAGCTGCAGCACTTTTCCAAGCGGAGATGCAAACAATAGTTACGGGGGAAAATTTGAATAGAGTATCGAAGACTATCTTGAGGACTGTATCATCCCTTAACGATATCTTTTCTTTTTCGGTGCAGTATTCTTCACTCTCATTTTTATATTTTTCGTAGAAATTTAGTAAAACCTAAAATAATTCTATTCGAAACAAATGGAGTTCTATTTTCTTTTTTGGCGCAGTATTTTGTTTCAAATATTCTCCACTGTCTTTTTTATATTTTTCATAGAAAAGTAAAACATTCGTCCTGCAAAAATAATTCTATTTGAAACAGATGGAGTTCCATTTCCTTTTTTGGTGTAGTATTTTGTTTCAAATATTCTCTACATCTCTTTTTTATATTTTTCATAGAGGTTCGGTAAACCTGAACTCGTACGTGAATGTAATTCTATTTGAAACAAATGAAGTTCTATGATAGATTATTGCACCTCCAGTAGAATATATTTTGCTAGATCTTCTAAAGTCCCTTCCGGGGGAATGTCATGAATAATTACTTCAGACAGAGACCATCGTGCTGGGAAGAAACCACGGATGGAACACGATGAAGTGAATTGCGCCTCTGTGATCGAACGTGGCAGGATTAGGGAATTTTAGAAAGAAATAGAGAAATGGGACGTCAGAGGGCTAATGGAAACGTGGAAGGAATCTACCGGAGGGGATGGGTGGATTTGAGAAGGAAGCTTTCGGAAGGATTCGGATAGAATTATCAAACTGTGAGGAGAGAAAATAAGGGAAAGGTGAGAAAGTAGCAAAGTGACAGTAGGAGGGGGAATAGAACGAACGTGGAAGGGGTTGACAGGCAGAATGAGAGAGGGAGAGACTATTAATTAGACATTTTAATTCGAGAACGACAGAGCATGAGGGGCAAATTTTCAAATAAAAACTCATCTCCGAGTACTGGGATAGCAGTTCAACGTGTAGGCGTTCTTACTATAATTTTTCCATCAAATGAGTGAATTTGATTTTCAACCAGTACCAAAAATGGCCATTTTCGAACTTCGTCGTTCTATCAAGGACCCAGTATTTGCACGAATTTGGTATTGTCGTATTTCAATTTGCGCCGTCACGGTCGACGTTTCGGCAGTTGGCAATTCGTTGACGGCGAACCGCAACGTTTAGCTTTGCTCCTGCGACGGGAAAAACCGCGTAAATACGTTCCCCGGAACGGAAAGTGACCGAGAAACTCGAACATGTTGCGGTTTAAGTAGCCAACTATTAGCACGGAGCTTCGGAGGAGGCAAAAACTTCCACGTCGACGGAATTCTCTGAGACTCGGAATAGTTTCCATTCCGTGGAACTGCGTTTTCATTGAAAACTTTGTCTTCGCGGTTGTTGATGGACCGTACAACGTAACGAGAAAGTAACGAGACCAAAAAGAATTCAGAGTAGCTCCCCGGGGGACTCGAGACGGTCCTTACAACGTCGGTGTAATAAGTTCTCCAGAATCGTGTTCTATGAAATTTTAATTGTATCTTCAATTTTTCAACTCCCTCGAATCCTAGCGGAAAAGAAAGCCAACCAGTCCACTGTGCCCACTTTGGGTGTTTTTCGACGCAATTTTATCATTATCTCGCCGTGTAAATGGAAGTGCAGCGAGGTTTCCGGCAACAAAACAATTAATTGCAATGCAAAGGAAACTAAACGAGTCCTAGTTACGCCTAGAGCTTAGCGTTAGGCAGTTCCCGACCCTTCTAGTTTAGCCGTGAGTGTTGTCTTGCGAACAGTTCACATGACCAGTCCCCGGGAAACCAGCGGAACCGTGACCACCAGCAGTAACAGCGCGTTGGCCGATTCGCCAGGCCACGAATTCGTGTCCGATAGCATGAGGGTCTCGGACACGGACCTCGAAGAGGTCCTAGAGGGCATGAAAAAGCTGGGGATGCAGCCACCGAAAGGTCAGTGATCGTTGGTCGTCGTTAACCTTGCTTGCGAAGGACGAGTGCCCAGAACACGAAGCACCAATCTCCTAAGTCGTGCCACGTGTCCTCCATTTTATTCGTCTGTTCGTTAAAACGTACAAAATTCTACTATTCTTTAATTTCTGGACCACGCGAAATCTTACTCGATTACCTAGATTAACACTTAGGGATCGACGAATTCTATTTTTTTTTTCACGTGGAATCACGCTTTATGCAGGGTGTTCGGCCACCCCTGGGAGAAATTTTAATGGGAGATTCCAGAGGTAAAAATAAAAAGGCTTCGTTAAAAAGTTATTAAAAAATTAAATTAAAAAATTTCAAATCATTCTGGAAAAATTATTGTCGATTGCAGGGGTCAACTACAATCATTTTTGGTGAATAGACATACCCTCGAATTCCTACGCAGTTTCGAGAAAAAAATCCATTACCGAAAATGCCATGTCTGACCACACGTTGATCTGTTTCCCTGAAGTTCTTCGAAATTGAAAACTTTCAAATCGTTCTAAAAAAATTATTTTCCGTTGCGGGGGTGAAATACAATCATTTTTGGTGAATAGACATACCTCCGAATTTCTAACCAGTTTCGAGAAAAAAATTCGAGTAGTTACTGAAAATATACCGTGTGGCCGGAAATGTTTCTAACTTTTTAACGAAGCTTCAATCAACAAATTAGTATCCTTAATTTTCGTCTTATTTTGGCCTCTAGAACACCCTGTATATCTCGTACTGTTATAAAGCAAAATGTGTCCGTATTCCCTTTATCGAACGCTATTTCTAGAAATTTTATTTCACTCGGATATTGCAGCGGACGAAGGTGTAATCGAATTCGAAGCGTGTCGAATATTTCGCGTACTGAATTTCCTCAGTCGGGACGAGGCTCGATCCGTTGCCTAAGTGTTAATCGATTGCAATCAGATTAACCGTTCCGGGAACGGTCAGTGGCTGGATGCGTGACTATCTAGGAATAGCCGGGAGTCGTTCGTAACATAATTGATACGGCTTACACTTAACTGTAAATCCTCGGCTAATGATGAGCATCGATCCGCGCCCCCGGGTTTAAAAATACGAACAGAACGCGAAAGAGGACACTTGCCGCGAGAATTCGAGTGCTTCGTGGTTCACGGACGCGCTCCGCGTCCTCGATCGACTACCCTCGAAGAGAGTCCACGTGTGCACGTTACTTCGGTACTGTTTTTTGTACACACACCTTAACAATTAACCACGGAACGCAATGCTTGAACAGATACTCGCGCGTTGTTCCGTTACGACCACCAACGAAATATATCTTTTTTCCTTCCCGTTTGCTGGCGGAATCCACCTGGCAAACATAAACCATTCGATGCGAGCTTCTTTTCAAATTTGATTATATTAGTTCAGTGCATCGATGTTTCGACTCTGTGGAAGACCCTCTTCAGGATTAAAATTTGAGAATGGGATGGATTAAAAATAAACGACCTTAGTTCTGGTGGTTCATCGTATATAATTTCATCGTTTACATTTGTAACTTTACATTGAATTTAATTTATATTATAACTGACACTTACGTGTAGAAGTTGAGTGCATTCATGACTTTGGATCGCAAAGAAACAGCCTTAGTTTTGTTGGTTCATCATATATAAATATTTATATTTCTAACTTTATATTGTATTTAATTTACAACTGATGATTATGTGTATAAGTTGAGAGATTAGAAGTTGGCTGGTCTGACTAGTTGCAGTATAATCTCCTTCTTTAGTTTAGTGTTTCGTGTACAGTAGAGTATACTATAACTAGTCAGACAACTTCTTATCTACACACAGTAGACTATATCAACATCCCTTTAGTTTTTCATCGTATTTATTACACTCGTACAGCAGTAAGCTCATAAAACTTCAAACTGTGTCACATGGTAACGCTCCCAAATTAATGAAAATATTGAATAATTTTTAAAAACTATGAAAATTTCTACCATAACTCTGTAAGTGCTGTAAAAAGGTTAAGGCTGGCAACCAGGTTAAAAATTGACTAATTTCTAGCATTCTTGAAATCCTGGAGAAGGCCTTCGAGGGTTCGAAACTTAAAAGAGTGAAAAAATTTACATAAAAATAGACTGTCCATAAGATGTAAGTATCGACGACGCGAGCAAACGGAAGAAAGGAGAGAATCCTGCGATCGAGCGATCTATGCCCAAGACACGGGTGTCCAAGCATACATCCTCCCCCGTGAGTATATGCGTGAATCAACGTCATCGTGAAACTCGATCTCGATGTTCCACCTTTTCACCAGCATTTAGTGTCGTCGTCACCCCCGTAGTCTGTGTTACCCGTTCCCGGTTGAGGAGCAGCTTGTCCAACTTTCCTATCAGTGTGCTTTCTGTAGGGATTGCTCGAGTACGAAACCCCCTCCCCCCATCCTATTTACTTGTATGCGAGTCGGGAGACCATTGTCTTCTCGTTAGTTGCTCGAGCCTGCCCGACCTCGTCTGACATAATATGATGCCTCATGTGACTAAACGACCGCTTTTCATTCTATTTTGTCAACAGCCTAAAGAAGAGGAGTTCCCGATAAAAGCTTATCCAAATCACACCCCCTTCAAAAATAATACGACATGCTTCTTTTCCCGTCTCAAAAACCGACGTTGATTTCTCGATTCTCGTTCACGATCTCCTCGAACCCCTCTCCTCCCTCTGTTCGGTTTTTCCTTTCTCTTTTTTTACTTCTATCGTCTTTTGTGTTCTCGTTCCCGTTTTGCGTGTCACCGACACCCACGGATCCGGATCTCGATCCTCCCCAATCCCCCTTCGTTTCGTTGCCGATATTTCTTTTTCCTCGTTTCCGATATCGATGCGACGATAGGACGCGACAGTCTCGCGGTTCAGGGGTAGCCCGCGCGATGGTTTCCGTTATCGTTATTTCCGTCGCGGTCGATAATTATCGGCGATCGACCCAACGGGATCGAGCGGGCCATCTTACTTAAACGCGGTACAAAAATAGGTTATCGGGAGAGAGGGTGGGGGGCAGGACGGAAGAATAACAACCATGCGAGAGGAAACAGCGTGTTTTGGGAATACGTCGAATTTGAAACCGTGATCAAGCTAACGCGTGAATAACGTAGTAGTTTTTTGGCCACGTGCGGGGCGAAGAGAGAGATGGATGGACACCGAGAGATAGTATGATTGGAAGAAGAACGAGAGAAGATTATATTTCCTTTAGCCCGAAATCGAGTAATAATCAATGATTAAACGCTCGACTAAATGTCTGTGTGTCTGTCTGTCGTCTGTCTGTCTTCATTATAATTGTCTCTTGTGGATTCTATCCGTGTTGTAAAACGTTACGGATCGGTTAACAAACGGGCGAGGCAACCAGGGGGAAGAAATCGAACGGGGAACGTTGGTATCGAGCGTGGACGGAAAAATTGAACCTTTTCGAGAAAAAAACGATTTAGACGCGTATTTAAAAAAAAAAAACGAAAAAAAAAATAAATAAACACAGGAGGGGAAAAATTTAATCGGAGCAACAACCAACAAACGCGTCGTGATTTAACGGGGGTTACAGGTATCGACGCGGTAACGAAGACAGAAGGGATAGGGGTAAAGAGAAAAAGAAAAAAAAAAATAAATGAAATTCGTTGAACGACAATACGTGTTTTAAAAAGAAAAAGTTACCAAAAAAAAAAAAAAAAAAAATATATATAAACGAAGATCGAGGTGTAATTTCGTCTCGTCTCTCGTGGGTGTAATTCTTTGTAGTGATTTCCTTCCGATTAAACCTATAATACGTGTTAAAAACTCCATGGATGGGAACGGGGCGATCGCGTTTACACGCCCGTCCGCCCGAAGCGAACACGATAAAATCGCGGATAAGAATAAATAATAAACGATAGAAACAAGAGAAAGAAAAAAAAAAGAAAAACACCAAAAAATTTAGTCTTCTCGGGGGGTGGGCGACGGAGGCGGGAGAAGGGCCGACGTGGAACGGCGGAGAGGAGGGCGCGGGGGGGTGTAGAGAATTAATTAACGCGAGTTCCGCGTTTTCCGTATGGACGGAGGCTCGAGCGGCGCGCGGAACGAGCACGCGAAAGAATTTTCACGCACCGGTGCACACCGATTACAACAACGGCAAAAAAAAATACGAGAAAACTGTAAAATATACTCGATTAAACGAACAGCGCTGGGGTGAAACGACAAAACGAGAAGGGGTTGGGAAACACGGGAGCCTCGATAGGCGTTCGTGAGGCCATCGAACGTCGGGGCAGACTCCGACGCGGAGGGCGCATGTAAAGACGAATCGATAGTTACAGCCAAGGGTGCTAAACGGAGAACGGGGGTGGTGTCAACCCTCTGGCGAAAAAATTCGGCGCTCCGTTACAGTGGCTCGACTCTTTTAACGCTGGACCTGCCAAAGGGGTCGAAATGAATTGTTTTGTAATTTTTTTTTGTAACTCATTTTCCGTTGTAGCTTTTGTCTGAGCATATTGGCAGTTAATTTTATTAAGTTTTCTATTTTCACTTCGTGTATAAAATTTGTATGCCTGCGTATGCCAATGTGGGTCGAAGAGTTTAGGTAAACTTTTGAATTTCAAAAATTTCTGTTATGTTTCTTTCCAAGGACACTTGTTTTCTAGAACAAGTCATTTTTACCCCTCCAAGTAGATGTCAGTACGTATCTAGTCAACATCTTACACTATGGTTTGAGGAAAGAAACAGCCTAATAATTTGCTGTCGGAGGAAACGAGCCAAGGGAGACCGGAAGCTACACGCGAAGCTCTTAGGCGCAGAGTTTTGGACAGCCAAGTTAACTTTGATTCCCCGCGGGTGCTCAGACGCGTTCAACGTAATCCCACGTCGGGACGTAATTACTTAAATCGCGTTCCTGGAGAATAGGGTTTCACCTGGCTCGATCAATCGACCCCGGATGCTCGTCTTGGTTCCGATTGTTTTAGCGGGGACGCGCGTGAACACAGATTTATCGAAACTCGCGTCGCTTTTCCTGGAAAGACCATAACAGAGACGACCAAAATTCTTATCTGGACGAACGTTTCGAGTACTGTTATTGCTCGTTAAAGTGCGACGAAAATTTTCACGTTAGATGTAAATTGTAGTTTTTAATCGTTGTCTGTTGTTCGAATAAAGTTTGCTCGTCTCGCCTCTATCGATATTAACACGTTCGCTACCACGCGTCACACTGTCTATTTCGTTATAAATAAATGACACTATAGACCAGTGTCACGTAGTATTTGACGTATTATTGGGAATATTCAATTGGCCTATTTAATACGTTTCATTTGTACATGGTTAAAAGCATGTTCTACGTCGAACAGAACATAACTCCAAATGTATAGTCTGTGGCGTACGGTTTCCTAATTGACAATGAACGATGATAGCAAACGTGATAAGAGTCTGTCTAATTCTCGGTAAATTGAATCATTTTTTAGGATTTTTTTTCGAATGAAAACTAATTTCAAATTTTGCGTACAGGCTCGCCTCCTGAACAGGGTAGAAAGAAGACTGCAGAAATTTAAATTTAATTTGTTCGACCGTAATTAAAATTTACTCAGTAATTATTCAACGATGCAGACTCCATTGTTTGATCATAACTTTTCATTATCGGGTATTTTCAGTAAATGTAACGAAACGTTGTGTCAGCTCAAACGAAGTAAACTTAATTTCCACGAGGTCTTTATTTCCAACCTTTTATTTTGCATTGTAAATAAATGAAGTAAAAACTGTAGACCATACATCACATTATGCGTGATATGTTATTCCAAATATTCGTTTGGCCTGTTTAATAAATTTTATTTATATATAATTAAAATCGCTACAAAGCAAGCGTCATCTGTGACGCATGATTTTCCAACGCGTTAATGGATCTTTTTAGTTCTTTGCAGTAAACGTTGGACAATTTTAGAACTTTCTTTCGAAGAAAATTACCGGGAACGTCAATTTCAAATTTTTGTACGTTCGCTGCAGCGCAAACGTATAGGGTGTACTTGTTTTATTTGCACTGTCGCGCGGACTAAGCTAAAAATAAAATAAAAAAGGAATCTGAAAATTTAACAAAATCGCAGCTGTCTGAAAATTCGATTTCTATCTCGATCGAGTTGACTTTGCCACGGACAATAGAGGAATATTTACTTTACATGTTTGTACAATTTAAAAATCGGTCGTTCCATTTTTTCTGCAAATATCGCGTCGACGAGCTTGAAAAATATAGTTCCACGAACAATCGCTTTAAAATTTCAGCATCAAACTTTATAATTATGGTTTTAAACAGGTTAAAGGGGTTTCTAAAGTGGTTACAGCGTCCCCGTGCGGGGAAGATCTTTTAACTCAATGAGACCACGTTTCGTTGTTAAAACAATTTAACGCAAACATCGTTGTCTGCTTTATGCACCCATAAACGAAGTATAAACTGTCGACCATCGCTTGGAATATTCTATTCAAAGTATTCGGTGGGTCCATTAAATATTCAGTTTATAAATGTCGAGCGCAGAAATTGCTTCTTTCTGTCCAAGGAGTCGCCTGGGGTTAACAAAATTTGAAATTTGCCGCTATCGAGGCGTCATCGCGCGTAAAGGAGATTGATTTTGTTCTACTGGTGAATTAGACAAACCTCTTAACGCTAGTCGGGGCAGATTAAACGGGACACGCGGTCGCGAGGCACGTCGGAAAGCCTTCCACGGTTCCGTTTCGCGTTTCCACCCTCCCATCGTTTCTCGGTTCTCTGTCCTTGTGTGGTTTGAGTTTTTGTGTCCACGTACCCCTTCCCGCTTCAACCCACTAACACACACACACAGAAACACGATTTAATTGTCGCACACCGGCGCACGGAGAAGACACGCGCGTCGCGAGATCGATGCGAAGAAACAGGAACACGAAGGCTGAAAGCTCCCGTGGAAAATCGCGACTCGTGTTAAACGGTGGCGAACACACGCTCTCCCTCCCGCGTATAAATTTACACGGATGCGAAATTTCACACCGTGCAGATTCGCTCCGGAAACGTACACACACAGATTTACACCTTAAAAAAAAGAAAAAAAAAATGAATATAAAACGTGCAGACTCACGCGTACGAGATGCCCGCGCGCGGCCCCCTTGAAAATAGCTACAACGCTGCTTGTCAATCTCCGCAGAAGAAGAGTGGGAACGCGATTTGGAGGCTGAGCTGAAGGATTACGAGGTAGTTACCGGGAACGAGGAAAAGAACGGCGCCCCGGCGCCCGTAGGTGAGATCGCCGCGTTGGATAAAGACGATTGGGAGAAGCAGATCGACGACCTCTTAGCCAACGACGTGGACGACGAGGACCTCAAGTGAGCCGAAGAGATCCTCTTTGCGACCGGTTAGAGACGATCTCGTCGCGTTTCAATTGAGATCCTGGGGCACGGTGTCAGAGATCGCCGGGGTGGGTTTCTATCTTTCTCTTCCATCGACCTTCCTCCCGGGAGCGAGAGGATCGCTTCACCAGGCGAGGGGATACTCCTTTCTGTTTACCTTCCCTTCCGCTTTGTTCCTCTCTTTGAGAGGATTCATTGTGCTCAAGATAACCCATTATATGCTTAAAACAGTCGTGGCAAAAAATGTTGACCGCTTGCGGTAAGAGAGCTACCGTGACGGTTTGGCGAACGCAACGCCACCTGGCGGCGGATCTTGTCACTTCCAGTACGCGCCATATTGCGTTGCACCATGGCGACGATTACAGTTCGGTAGAAGCTTCGGTACGCGCGTGTTGTTTGTGTTCGACTCTCCGTGCTAGGCAACATCCTTACAGCGTAAAGAAAGTCGTATCGTATCCAGGTACGTGTTAAATCAGGTCGTTTCGAGCATGTATGTACGAATTCTTCTAAATGTTCTTTACGTTCTCATGAAAAATATTAACTTTGTTCTGGTAGAAGACTTTTACTGATTCTATGAACAAAGTGTCGATGTACCTTTTGTGTTTAACTCTAGTACTATGTTTGTACGTTTGTATTATGCCTAAAATTCGCATAGACGCATACGGTGACTTGCGAAACGACCTAGTATAACGTGCGTTACGTGTCGAGAGTCGTGGCACGCGAACCTGAAAGTGGGGACAACCGCGTGTGAATTCCAGTCGAACAAGTGACCTTAAGCGGTGAATATCTTCTGTCACGAGCGACGCTCTTGAAATTCGGGAGCTCGATAAAACCGGTTAAATCGAGAGCACTGTCTGGTAGGACCACTACCGAGTGTCGTGGGCGTAGAGTGTAATAATGTGAGAATAAGAGAGAAGGGAAGAGGAAATGGGGATGGTTGAGACGACATTCGTTCGCCTCGAACAATTGCAACGGAAAGGGAGAAGATGGAGAGAAAGGGGGGACTGGAGAGGAAAATAAAAAGAGTCTCTTCCTTGTTTCCGCTTCTCCAGGTTTGTTTGTTGTCTCAGACAGCACCTACGTTTGCGATCCTCGAGCACGATGAAGATGATGGGATTAAAAATGAAACTGGGGGGAACGGCTGAGAGATGGGAGAGAAGGGTTTAGGCACGTTTACGCTTGTACAGACTGTAAATTATTTTGCCGATCGATCGATCTCGCTTCTGGAACCTCCGTCGATTCCATCCATCGATGATCTCCGTGGATCTACCGAACGGTGGACGGGCGTGCACGCGAAAACACTGATGACGGATATACTTTAACGCCACACTTATGTCAATTGTTACACGACACGTTCTTCGGTTACGAGGACGGTGTAAGAATGTAAAACATACAAAAAAAACCAAGTATTCCCCTCCAAAAAAAAAAAAATCGAAATCGAAAAAAATTTCAACATTTCTCGTTTGTAATAATATCGATCGTTAAGATATTTAACAAAAGAACAACAAAAAAAAAATATTGAAAATGAAAATCGTGCCAGCCGCGACATCGAACGCGGTTGGCGCTGTTAACTCGAAATGCACTGTGCTACGGAATACGACTCGAACAGTAAAAAAAAAAAATAGAAAAACAAAATTGAAACGCTCTTCATCGGGTTCGAAGGATCGAGAACATTCCGATATTATTACACTGCCGTGTGCCGAAGGACACCGTTTCGAACGGATCGACCCGTATCGTCGACTTTATTTTTTACAAACTCAACTGTCGGACACGCTTTTCCGCTAGAAGTGAGAAACAAAAAAATACACAGACACAAAAGATAACGGATATGCTTTATCGTGGATTTTTCGCATTGCCAAAAGCAACTCGATTTCGACGAGCGTATTCACGATCCGCTCCGCGACGATCTATCCAGGGATGGGCAGAATTCGTAGATAAAAATGTCGTGTAAGGAATTAATGATGAACAAACTTTTTACCCGTTAGTTCGTTTTATCAAAATTAGAATTTTAAGTTTTACGTTGAACGAATAAAGACTTATCTATATAACTGTTCGATTAAATAAACGACGCAAATAAATCGCTATACTGTATCGCTATTCGTCGTCTATTGTTCGAAGAAAATTTTGCCCGATCTTTGGTATTATCTTGCGCGATCTGTCCCGATACGCGGACAGAGAGGTCCGTAACGATCGATCGAGAGATTATTTATATCATTGCGAGACGTATTGTTGATGTTCGCGTCGCCAGGGATATGATTGTTCTTTTGTTAAACTAGCTGTGGTATTTGTTACACGTATCGCGCTTGATGTTGAGTATATTCACTGCGATCTCACAGAGGAAGGACTGAACCTGTTGAAACGTATAAAACATTAGACGTAGATACTCGGTAATTTTAGAGCTATAAGTACTTGATGTTACATACCGTATGTTAAACGTTGTATATAATAAACTACCAGCTGGAACACCAGCTACAGCTGAAACAAAATGGTTCGTTAACGAACGAAGAACAACATAATTACACCTTCGATAAAACAACCCGACATTCAGTATATAACATATAGTTATGTCTTTGCAATTATCAAGCGTCTAGGTCCAATATTTCACGCGTTGCAACAGCCTTTCATCATCCTGTAAAAACACGTTAACCAAGTTTGAGTAACTGTCGGATCTGCAAGCAAATTTCTACATTAATGATATTTTACTTATTATTAAATTATTATTAAGTTATAGGGCACATAAGTTGTCATTACTATATCAATTTACTTACAAACCCTACAGCTATTCAAAGTTGAAACTCTAGATTTACGGACATTGATTGCACATCGTTATTATTTAGGATATATCGTTACCATATTATTAACGAATGATGTTTATGAGTTCTGTAACTTAACTCCAATTGAATCGACGGGTTCCGTAAATCTAGCGTTGAAACAGGCGACAGGATTAGGTCCTTCCCACGTCAGTGTCCGCGATAAAAAAAACGTAGAAGTCGGCGAATCGATGGAGCAAGAGTCGCATATAGTCGTTGTAGGTCGCAACAACAATTCCTCGACAATGATTTTCTCCGTGCGACATGCCGTCCAATAATTCCCTTGCTCTCGATGGAACTGGGGCAAAACAACAATTTGTGGATAAAGAGAAAACCGCGGAGACGATAAACCGTCGCGTTCCGCGTGCAAAACAATCATCAAAATTGCTTTGATTCAAGTCGGGACGCAGCGACTTGGTTTTACAACGTACTCGTTTCCAATAGCACGAACCAAAATAGCGCGCAACGAACAGCTTACACCGAGCGCGTCAAATTTGTACAAAGTACGCATAAGATACGTTAAACGTAAAACGAATACGGGGAAGATTACATTACGCGTTTGTTTAGTCTTGCGAGGATGAGATTGGCAAAACTTTCTTTCAAATCGAAGCAACCTATGATAATTAATTCACTTCGTGAATACTTATTCCCTGAGTACAAAATTCTGTTCCACGATTCAAATTCAAAGGTTGTTTATATTCTATTCGCTATTCGAAATTTGTATCTAGACTAGACGTTTGCCCATCTCTGCAAGAGGAGGAAAACTTAACCTTGGTTCGGCTTCTTAAACATTTTGACTGCCGCGCCACCTATATATGGGTGACAGGATTTGTCATTATGATACTAGAAAAATTCATTTGAACAGAATTGGTGAATTTTAACAAGGTTACGAGAATAAGTACCGAAACAAATGTTAGGTTATGTAGCCTATAATGGTCGAGAATCAAAATTTTACTTTCGCAGCGTAGCGTATTCTTCGTTTCGTTTGATCGATTCTCTTTCCTTCTCTGCTGGGTCAGATCTCGCCGCGAGTGGTGGAAATTCAATCGTGCATTAGTGGTCACGGTAACTGCATAGTACGATATTTTTTTCTTTTTTTTTTGCTTGCATTGACCGTACCGTGTAAACTGTCCCTGTACTTTACAAAATGGCCGAGTAACAACGGCTAAATTTACAAGCGAAATCGTTGAATTTCCCGTCGAGACGTTCGTTTCGCGTACGCCGCTATGTTGAGTGCAGATCATTCGTCAATTCTCCCCGGGAAACGGCGAACTCGGCGTACTTAAAAAAGAAAGAGGCGCCACTTGTCTTGTCCGCCGCATAGAAATTCACGAAAAAAAAAAAAAAGGCCTGATTCTTCGAGAAGACGAAGGAAAAGACTAATTCTGAACTCAACGCGCTGGTTCACCGCGTGCGCGTGTTTCATTCGCACTAGTCGTTAGGTGGATGTATACATGTTATATTGAATATAAATATATAAATATACGTATATATGTACATTAAGGATATGTCGCAAAGATTCGGGCCTAAGTTTGTCAGAGTTGATGGAAGACAGAGATACACGCGTATGCGTACACCAACAGTGTTATACATATAAATATATATATACATATATATGTGGCTGAACGGAATCCCCGAGGCGATAATCGTGTATTTCTTAAGCCGCGCCGAGTATGTGAATTCTATTGCGATGTTGAGTCTTTCGTTGGCGACCTATTGTATGTATTCTATTGATTCACCGTGCGATCCTCCTGTTATATTTCTTCGCGCGTGCGACGTTCGCGAGTAAAATAAACAAAAACAAAAAAAAGGAAAAATATAGTCCCGTGTTTTTCTGTCCTCTTGCCTTGACTGAGACGCGAGAAAAAGTACACGCATCGGCGAGCGGCCCCTCGTCGTTTCCATAACGGTCGGATGAACAGCAAACGAATCAGGAACGTAATTGTCCGATAAGCGAACGTCTTTCTCTCCGAAATGATTCGAGACAGAAACAAATTAATTTCACGACCATGTGTATGGTGTACTTCGGCAATCCCCTTATTACAAATACGACTCTGTGAATTGTGTAATAAAGCTATCCTATGGTACAGTGCATTCACTTGTAAGAATGAACATACACCCGATACGCATATATGTATAAATGATATACATATATACATATGAAAATAAATAAAAAATATATATATATGTTGTTGACTCCATTGAAAGTATGATAATATATTAATGAATAACTAACGAGAATGAGGCAAACATTAAATTCCGAAACTATTAAGAAATTAATTAATATAATTGCGGAATGTAACAATAAAGGTCGTGTACCTCTTGAAAAATAAACTGGAACAAAATACCATAATCGAGTGATAAGCAGCATGTTTAACCTGCCAACCTGCTCCTATCCAAGCACTTTCTGCAAGGGTATACACTACCTAAATGCAAACACAGAGTTCAGGGTATGTATGTTGATAATTATTTTTAAGAGGTCAAAACACTTTTAAATGTGTCTGTGATTGTAAGCTGGTTCGACGCTTATTTAAAAACTAGTTGTCGAAGTACGGGCTCTGGAAACAATGAGAAAATAACAAGACGATCTAAAAAATACAGTTTTAGTGCCAAGTATAATTAAAAGATACAAAAATACTGTCTTATCATTAATCTTATTATGCATTACTATCTCACAGAAAATCAGTTTCTTTCAAAGTATCACAGGAAACACGTCTCGTTTCAGAATGTTTTTACAGAAACACTGAACTCATTCGCAACTGTGATTATTTCCTCTTGCTTTCTTCCAAGCAGCGATGACTTTTTCCTCATAATTTATCGATCGATTTATTTACAATCCATTACTTTCGTTTATTTCGCAAATTGCGAACTTTCGACAACGATGCTGGCATCGGTGACGGCGGGATTATTAACGGACTCTAAAGAAACAAAAATTTTAATAAGTACACGTGTATAGCAAAGTATTAAATAATAAATTATATTAAGATTAAAAATAATTTACTTCGACTGGCTCAATGTCTTGGGCCGAATCATTTTCTGAGACATATAACTTCTTCCTACGAATAGTTTTCTTTTTCTCTGAATTCATTTGCGTGGGAGGTGGTAACGCGGGAATATATTTTCCGGTTCGTCTAAAATAGAATAGTACCCTCTAGTAACGAACTTCAAATCGTATAAATATGTAGTATATATTATTTTTGAAGACATACTTAGTCTCAGACCCGGAAAGGTCGATTACTGATATTTCATCGTCATTCGGTGACATCATGTATCTTTTTGGTGGTCGTCTTATACGACGTCCCTTCGATGCCACTTCATCCTCAGACGTGTTTTCACAATTATTTTTTTCTTTGGAAGCCTTTTGACCTTTTGTTGCCTATAGAGAAAAAGTTATTAATAAAACCACATCGAATGAACATTATGTTAAATAATTTAATAAAAGCAATACCCCTCGTCTTTTCTGTTTTCCTAATTCTTCTTGTTGATTTTTTACTAAGCTTTCATACATCGTGACCATCTCGTCCCTGTTCTTCATAAATGATTCCATTTCACGTTCCTTCTCGACGAGACTGTTCTTCAGTTCTACGTTTAAATTTCTTAACCTGTCGTTCTCCGCCTGTCTTTCCTGGTTACTTTGTTGTAGAACATTCAAGACTATGGCGTTTTGTTCAGACATTTTTAAACGCTCTTGCAAGCATTTAATATGTTCTTCCCTTTGCAAAAGCATCTCTTTTGTCTCGTTTAAATGCTTAATTGTATTCTTCATCTCGGTTTCCATTAGTTTGTCGCTGTTGTCGCTTCTGTCATTGTTTTCGCTCTTCTGTATCAGATACTTCAATTCTGTAACGATTATGAAAATTAGCATTGCCAGATTAAAAATAACTTCCTACTTAGGAACAACAAACATTTGACTAACCCTTTTGAAGTGAAATTATTTCCATATCTTTATCTCGTTCTTTCTCATCAGCATGTTCTAATTGATCTTCGACCTCTAGAAGCTTATCATTCGTCTCGTCCAGTAACCTTCGCAGGTGTTCTTTCTCGTCTTGACATATTTCTAATTTTCTATTTATCTCTTCGATCTGTTGCTGTAGCTCTGTTACACTTTCAAGCCTATGCTCCAATTCTGTAACTTTTGAAACATGAACATCTAAACACTAAAAAAAAGAGAAAAAAAAATACAGAAAAAATTACTAATATTTCATCAGATTTTATGTTTATGTAAATTACTTTAAATACCTCCGATTTGATGTCGCACTTCTCTGTAGCAACACTAAGTTCTTTCTGCAAATTGTCTATGATTTGTTCGTGTTCGTTTTTGCACTGGAAAATAATGGAACAATTAAATCTATAAGAAACAGTTTAGTATTTCTGTAAATACGTACCTTTGAAACGTGACTATCAAAATCTTGTTGCAAAGTATTCAATTTCTGAAAACAAAAAGTAGAATTGTAAAAATGATAGAATACAGTACAGTTTTATTAAAATATCAAACTACGTACCTCCGTACAATGATCGTAATCTTTCTTGGTTAATGAGAGTTCCTTTTCAGCTTCATTAAGCCGTTGCTCGTAATCATTAATTTTTGTCTCCAAGGTAGTCTTGTCACTATTACTATTTTGTAGTGTCTGCTCAAGTTGCGCTTTACTATCCTTAATAACGGAAATCTCATCCTGAAGCAAATCGATCGATTTTTTATATTCTTCTATAATAACTTTATTCGTATTACTTTCGTCTGAAAGATTGTTTATCATTTGTTTAAGAGACAATACTTCTTCTTCCACTTCTTTTAGTATCTTGAAAACAAAAACATTGGTGTAATGGAAAAATAAATACCATACTGACACATTATTTATGTTTTACGTACCGAACATTTTTTTTTATATAGTAACTTTGTGTCATCATACTTTACTATCAGTTTTGCTAATGCCTCCAAATCGAAATCATAATCCTCATTTTCATCGATAAAACTTGTTTGACTAATTCCTTCTGTTGTTGTAGACTTAATAGTTTGACTACTTTTGTTGTGCACATCATTTTCAATAGTATCTGTTTGCTCTTCTTCATCTTGGATAAGGACTTGACAACCTATCTCTGTTGTTTCTATAGCTATGGGTACATCATTTTTAACTGTAGATTTTGTACTACTAACTTGCAAATTGCATATTTGATCGGATATATCCTTTAATTTCACTTTTGCGGAATCCAATTCTTCTTTTAAGCTTTGTATTTCGGTTGAACTCTGTGTTAATTTTTCTTTCAATGTTGAATTCTCTGTTTCTATAGCGATTATCTTTTCGCCTATTTGGGGATCAAATTCATAGTTTTCTATGAAATTAATAATCAATTATATAGTAGCTGTAGTATTTTTGGGCATCATATAGCTAAAAATTATACATACCTATTTTTATATCCTTTTCATTGTTCTCGCCTGCCTTATCTAATATCTCTAAATCAAAGACAGAAAGGAATTCCTGCTGTACAACAATTTCATCATGTTTTGTACTAGTCCTAATCGAGGTTGCTTTCTTCAATAATTCAATTTCATCTTGTAATAAACATTTTTCATTTTGTAATTCCTGTACTTTTGTTTGCATATCGTGGAGTTTGTTATCACTATCTATTATTTTCTTATTTTGGCTATCCAATTCTTTTTCCAACATCTCAACAACTTTGGTCTTTTCTGTCAAGCAAATATTAATATTTCCAAGGTCTGCTTCTAAATCGTCTATCGTTTCTTGTTTTTCGAATAGCTCTTCTTCTTGTTCCTTAATGAGGTGATCTTTCTCCATTACTTCTGTCGAGATTGTAATATATTCTTCCTTAGCTTCGTTTAAGAATACTTTAAGTTTCTTGGCCTGTTCCTGCTTAGCAAACAGCTGGGTTTCTAATTCTTCTATATAACACTTTGTATCTTCGTTTAAACAAATATCTTGCTGGACTGCTTTCAACAAAGTTTTTACACTTTTCAAATCTTCTTTTACCAAACCCAGTTCAAAAGTTACTTTATTGTTCTCCACTATTAGAGATTTATTTGAGCTTTCAACTTCTCTCTTGCTATCCTTTAATTGCTTGACCTTTGATATCAACTGCGAATTTTGTATTTTTAATTCTTCGGTATCTTCTTCATCATCGTCAAGCGTCCGTGTTCTCTTACGGCTATCGAATTTTTGCTTATAGAATTCTTCGACTCGTTTCACGGACCACATAAGTACATTTTCTTGTTCTTTTTCCACGTTCCTTATACGATCCGTCCAATTCTTTTCAAGCTCTTTTATCATAGCCATATAAGTATCTGCCATTTCTTGGCGTATTTCAAGATCATGACTCAATGCAGAATTCTTCAAAATAACGATCTCTTTTTTTAATCTTTTATTTTCACTCATCAACTCGTTGTAATCTTCGGCATGAACATAATTGGGCATAATAACATTACCATCATCTGTATTCTGCCACTCCGCGCTTTCTAATTCCGTAGCATCCCAATCAGTTACCGTTTTTATGCTTTGTGAAACTATTTGCGTAAATCTTGATTTTGATCTCTTTTGCACCTTCTCCTTTTCTTCTATAACTATTTTCTTTGCAATAGCAGAAAAATTTAGCACGCTCTGTGTTTCTATATACAGGTTTGGTACAGGATTGATATTTACTATTAAAGCTATATGCTCTTTACCAGAGAGTGCTTTTTGAAACAGTCTTGTTAGTTTTGATTCTCTGAATGGACCAATCTGTTCTATCTTCTGCTTTGTTATCTGCTCTTTATGAATAGTCTTTAAACATCTTCCTAGTACCATCAAGCTCGTGTTAATATTTTGTGCTTCCTTCAATCTGTCTCCAATATTCAATGTCTTTTTTAGACGCTCGGAACCAGCCAAATCGCAAAAGGCAAATGTGCTAACTTCAACAGAACTAGGATCATTCTCTATGTAATACTTTAATAATTTGATAGTGAATATGCAATGTGATCTTGAGCTTCTTGCGTTCAAGGCAGTCGCAGCTACTTTCAAATTATACTGTCCAGCCATTAAAACTTGATAAGCCTCGGAACCGGAATTGACGCAAACAGTCTTAAGACCTTTAATAAATGCCCTACTTTGTGAATCTGTTGCCAATTTAAGAGGCGTTCTTTTCTTCTGGCTCTCATTTGACAAAAGATCGTAAACAACTTCATTATAAATTTCGGCAAACGAAACCCAAACAGAATAATGCGCGTCGATGCATTGGCTAGGTCTGATCGGCGATTCTTCTTCTAATAGTTTCTGCATTTCTTTGTAAGCGGTAGTATAATGATGCTTATCTATAGAAGCAAATGATAACAGCTTTGATTTTATTTCTAATTCTTGTGCACGTTCAAGAGGATCCATACAAACAACATCGCAATGATTCATCGGTTTGTAAGAGGGAGTAGATTTTGGTGTAATGTTAGAGAACACAAACTCCAAGCATCTTGGTATAATTCCAGGGGATGTGGTGGTGCCTTGTAATGTGTAAGACTTCCCTGAATTTGTAGTACCTGTAAAATGTTACTCGTGTAATACTTGCTGGTAAGAAGTAATTTTAACCCTTTGATTATAACCAGTGCTTGTAAGCATTTCATTTATCAGTAATTACATTAGACAAACACAAAGTGTCCTCAACATATACAAAAACCTTCCATGTGCTTATGTTACAGTAATTCACAGTCAAAGGGTTAAATATTAACTAAATATCTAATGTCATTACCATAAGTCATAATAGTGGAGTTTTGACCGACTAGAAAATCCATCATGTGTTGTTTTACAGCTTGTTCGAATAATTCTAGTTGAGTAGTTTCTGGTCCAAAAGTTTTGGTAAACGTGAACTTTCTGCATAGAATGTCTGTACTATTGGATCTTTTAAGACAACTTGTATTATTATCCAAAGTAGGTAATTTTGTGAGCAAAGTAGTGGAATTGGCAATATTATAAGCATCCTGTTGTTCTTGAGACAACTTTAACTTTTTAGGAAATGGTTTCATTCGCAGATATACTTTAACAGTTTGTAAAGTGTGTAATTCTGAATTTATTGAATCAGTCTCTTCTGTAAAATTCGATTCTTCAACTTCATAAGCAGTAAGCAAATTCTTTTTTGTATCATTAGAGACACAAGGCCTTTGCCCGTAGGCTAAAATGCTTGGATCTCTACCAAAAAGATACGACATTTCTGCTTGTGAATTAGGATTAGAAGAAGCTCTAATAGAGTCCAATGTATTATCCATCTGCAAAATATTTAAAATAAAAATATTATTTTCGTTTTATAGCATTCCACTCGGTACGAACAAAAACAAAAATGTTTATCTATTTTCTATATTCTTCTCTAAATACATTTTCGATTAAAAGATTATTGCGTGGAAATTGAGGTATTTTAAATTCTTAAACAATATGTAAATACAGGTATTGATATTTAAATCGTCTATTATTACAAATGTTTTGAACCGCACGCTGTTTTCGGATATCGATAATAACACGACAAAATCGTTCGTTTGATAATAGTTTGGTTTAGACACGTACCTGTTATTCCTTGTTAACCGTCCACTTACAAAATAAGAAATTAATAATTCTTTTTATATATCACACGAAATCTTCGAGTATTAATTCGAAATATATATTCACATACATTTCTTTACTGCGAGCTCACAAATAATTCCGCAACAAACGGTTAGCATTTCATTTTAAAATCTTGCTAGAGGAAAGCTTTACATGGATTGGCGGAATATCCAGAGACGTATTATTACCGCGCTAAAGCTCGACTAATGAAAATCGACGTATACTTTCAAACAGCCAATAAGAGCTGGCAAACGAAAATGTTTTACTTTGCCGGAGCGTCCTCTACTTTGTACTTATTTGTAATTGAAGAGTTCTTGTGGAAAGTACTTAACGTAAGTATCAAAATTGAAAATAATTTTGTTTTGCAAGAAAATGTTATACGTGGCGATGGGAAATATATCACTATATAATTTGAATGCAACTTCATTTCCTTAATACTAAATACTCGGGTCTAACGATGGCATTAATTTGTACGTAGCATTTTGTCTCCGCAAAAAACACCGTATTTTCTAACTCGAGCGTTAATCATTTGCTTTCATTATACGTTGTACTTTCTCTCTATAGAAAACGTTGTATTTACGAGATAGCTCAAACATTAATCATTAATTCGTTAAATAAGAGAATAGATAGGAAAGGTCATATAAAATATTACATTATTATTAAAATAAATCTTTATTACATTCATCATTCATATCAATATTTACAGATCTCATGTTAGACACATATATACACATACAACAGTAGTGCTCTTTTTTTTCTATTACATTCAAATGTAATTAGAATTTATTATTATTCTCGGAATAAAAAAAAAAAAATATCTCATTCATAGATGTTAGAAACACAAAGAATACAAAATTATTAATATGTTGTCTAGATAAATGATGTTAGGAAGAAACTCGGTTACATAACATAAACAGAAATTGTACGATATTAAAAAACGACAAATTCTGTCAAAAAAAAAATATATCGTGATAAACGCACGTAATATTTTATCATTGTGGAAACAATAATACGAGCACGTAAGTCTTTAATCGCACCTATAAAATATTTCACGCACCAGTATTGACTTCCGTATCACCTTTCCTGTTACATATAAAAAACCGCGTGATCCTGAAATATCCGTCTCGGAGTATTTAAGCAGGAAATAAAAAATTAAACTACAAATAAAACTAAACTTCGCGTTCTCTACGTATTTTAGATATCTCGTCCACTATTCCTTTCTGTTTATATCATTTGTGTACATTTATCAACAAAGAGAGCAAGGTTTGGACATATTTTTAATCTAGTTCCTCCATTGACATGCTTATAATTTCGTTGGTATCTAAATGGAGACATCATTTATCGACCCTTAAAATTAATCGCGTAATCGTAATGTCAAGATTCGTGATTCAAAATATCTTTTAAATCGTCTGGTAACGTATGCGTGATGTCGTTTATTCTTTCTTGAAGCTTTTCTCTTACAGAATTACCGATAGGTACTTCATCGATATACGTCTTTTCTAATTTTTGTCGAATTCTGAGAATCATGTCAACTAGCTCTACTTCTTGCTTTCCTTGCACCCATGTCTTTAAATCCTATAACAATTACAATTTAACACAAACAACATATGCAATTTGAAAGAAAGGCGAAATCTAGTTACTAATACAGCGTACCGCTTTTGACAGTGCCTCAAGTTGTATGACTTGCAATTTTTGGGATAATTCTGTATACCTGGTGTGAAACCATCCAGAAAAGTTGGGCGAGCGAAAGAACCGTCTGTACAATCCTACCCAATCTCCTTTTATGCCTGAAGTCAATTGTGGTCCTGCACTACTCAAAGTAGCTAAAAAGTCATCTGGATTAAACAATTCAGGTATGGGTGTAGCCTAAAATAAATATTATTAGTAGTTTGTAGTAGTTTGAATACCGAGTAAGCAAGGTAATAGTTACTTTGAAAGGTGATATGTCCTTTTGCAGTGGCATAAGACTTGCAATATATCTCTCAAGAGGTATCATAAAGCTTTCTGTTAATTCTATTAAATGGCGCTTTAAAAGTGCTGTTTGCACTTCACCTGGTCTCTTTGTCTGAATACCTCTAAATAATTTTTTTAATATGGTTTTATCCTTGTGAAGAAAGGGTTTGTATTGTGTATACACTCCTGGTTTCGTGTCCAATACTTTGAGATTTTCCGACTTCTTTATTTTGTACTTTTGATTTTCTAAAGTATAGAAAATTTTAAGACATGATACTTACATAAGATTTCAAAACTTACCATTAGTAACTCCATTACTTATCCGGATTATATGAGGCCAATGCTGTAGAGTCTTAGCAAAAAAGGGGTTAGTTACACCTAATATTACAGCAGGAGGTGATGGAGCATCCGTAGTATATTCTTTAAACTCAGAATCGTGAATTGTGAAATAAGGTCGATGATCAGCGCAATATTTCAATGGTGCTATCATTCTAAAAACAGTTTATTCTTATATGTTTTATTTTATAACTGTTTCACGTTAACTGTAAATAGTCATACTCACGCAATGAGCGCTTGAACCATTTCGGAACAACCAGTAGGCGAACCAGCCATAACAACAATTGGTTCACTAAGTAATACTAGTTCCCATAATAGGTGAACATAACTTACAACACTAGCTAAACTTCTAAACATGTCTCCCTCATAGGCAGACGTTAAAATTAGTCTTCTGGTTGCATGAAAATTTGGGGCATGATCCATGGCAGCAATTGTAGGTGCAGTTGATTTATAGTTTTGATTCGGGATATATGTCTAAAACAAAAAGAATCTATGAAGACATGGGCAGAAACTGGCATGCAATACAATACAGGAAAATGAAAATATGTTAATATTTACTTGAAACAAAACACCTATAAGTGGTAAATGAATTATCTGACCAGGTACCGGAGGTGGCCAATGGTCAATTTCTCTTACAATAGCTTCCATAACAGCATTACCAACTTCAAAAAACTCAGGTGCAATTAAAGCACATAATTCACCAAAGAGATTCACAAATGGCAGTTTTGTAATTATAACAATACTCTGAAATATAAGTAAATTTATTTACTTGTATTCTTGTTGTATTATTGCGCAAAATGTACCTTTTGAAAATATCCTCTTGGAAGGGATTTGTCTTTTACTTGACGAAAGTACACATAACCCCAGTAATAATCCTTATCACATTGTAAAAATGGTGGTGATCTCCTATCGTATTCTTTTAAAGCTTTAGTCTCTTGAACTGCAGCTCCATTCTGTCTTATTCTGACATGATACTGAGTATCACCCATGCAGCCAGAGTTTGAATCAGGAAAGGCAAGATAACAGACATTAGATCTTTCTTGTTCAGACAATATGATATGACCTGGATATATAGCCTAGCAAATAATAATACACATCATCAATAATGTAATATATTTGCCCAAAAGAATTAGAATACAATGAGCATAATATACCTCTATAGCTTGACCTAATTCAAGATCAAAAGTAACAATACACATACAATGTACCCAATTATGAAAAAGTTCCCATTTTTCATATATCATCTCTTCTTTATTATTTACACTATCCATCCTTTTATTTTTTGAACAAGCAGCAACTGACATTTTTACAAGAATGTTGTTCTAATGTAGTTGCATACGTATGTAATGAAACATGTTTCTTGCTGTTATATCGAGCAACTGTTTCAAAAACTTCTGTTCAACTTAGATACTAACATATTATAATAACTCCTAAAGAAGAATTTGAGTATCTGAAAAACAATTGTAGATTTGTTAATATCCATTTACACATTGCACAGAATATCGGTTCGTTAGTTTCGTATGTTACACAAATACTTACAGTTTTGTTGAAGGTACACATTGTTCTTTACTTGTCGATAGAAACTGTTCCCTATGGATCACTCCCATTAGTTTCAATAATCTCATAATTGCTATTAACTTCTGCCTGTATATTTTTACCCTGTTTAACGATATCTTTAAAAACACGTAATCGACGTTCGCGCTTTATTTACTAACATCGAGTGCAAGGAGCAATGTGTCAGGGAAAAACGTTAATTTCAGAATCAAAGAACTCAGGCGTCAAAAAAACACGAGGGACATTGCACATATACTTATTTCATTATCGTCTACTATATACACACGACCGTTAAAATGCCCACGTGTTTTGCGTCTCTTGACAATAACAATCTGCCAAGCATATCAGTTGGATTCTTGTAACAATGCTGTGGTAAGAAACTGGCTCATGGATAGCGTTTGCACCAGTGTTCTTTTTCACCGAGACCAACTGCATATGTTGACATTCAAACGGTTGCACATCGTTCGGTCTCGCTTTATTAAAGAAAGTCTTCATAATGCTCGGAGCTTACAACAATAGTTATAACCTCCGATACCAAACATGTATACGTATCTCGAGAAATTAAATTTATCCGAGTACGTCAATTCTATGAGATAACGTCAAAATCAAAGATACACTGATCCTATCTCTATCGGAGTTAGAACGGTTTCGTCTCGTCAATTTATTCGCGAAAGGTGTCTTACCACCCTACCATCGAAACATTAAACCATAGCGGTACATATGGATGTTCCTTCGCTTAAATCCTATACTTGTCTATACGCAAATCATGCCAGATGCCGAGCCGTTTATCTTTTTGGCGATCTCTCTGCTTACGAAACGTAACAAACTTCTAGATCGTGATAAATATTTGCTCTTTTATTAGCTATAATTTTACACTTCGTGTTAAAGCAATGAAACAAAACGATAGGAATTATAACAAATACCTATAGAATATCTATTTGCAAATCCAAACTAGTTGCAAATATTCAATTTTCACGATGAAGTCTAAAATATTTAATATTTTTTACACATATAAATACATATTACGATCGCGTATGAAATTGACGACAAAATGCTTTGTCAACAAAATAATTAAGTATAATTCGTAGAGCCCTCGAGTATCTTTGAGAATATATACATCGCGAATCTACGTTATTTTCTTTTAAATAAATAAAGTTTTGTGTCAAATTTCAATATTTTATTGTACAGAACAAAAAACTTTATCGATGTGCGTGCACTAACCTACGCATGCATATTGCACCGGCATATTTCATATTGATCAAAATTTATGATCAGTAATCAAGATTGCAATGAGGCAAGTACATGATTTAGGCTAAACAAATCTACACAAATCAGTTCTATTGCACGATAGTGTTACGAATGCGTAAACAAGAAATACAATCGCTTTAAATCATTATATAATTAGTATGAAAGAATCAATTCATGTTATCGACTATATATTTGTTTAGATATTTAGATAATTTTATCACATACTCAGGTTTACATATTAAAATTATCCAAATATCGTTTTCCAGCCACGGGCCTTATGAGCCTTCATTCGGCCCTATATTTGTTATTCGCTACCTAGAATGTTACATTGTACATTTATTCAGCTATTGAAATACTAATATATTTGGCATTCACTGTCTGCACAGATAACTGTGTATTTCGTATTTGACATTGAATGATATATCACATGAATGACTGTATCGAATAAAAATACATATTCTATAATTGCACAGCTGCCCAATACAGCATGTGAATTCGACTGAGCATGGAATACAAATTAGTAATATATTCGTCATTCGAATAATTTTTAAAATACATTTTGTCCATGCCTGCCGCTTATTATTGTTTTTTGTAATTATCTCATCAGTGAATGCCAGATATACTAGTGTTACGCTATCGCGTGAATTTAAGCTTAGTACATATAGCGCCACGACGGGAATTAATGGAAACTCGATTAGTAACCATCGAGCCCGCCATCATGTAACTGCATTAAAATTCGGGGCGAGATTCAAACGAACCAGCGTTTTATGGGACGCAACAGTTTCAACAACTTCTAAAACTTCTAACCTCAATTTAGTAAATAAAAGTTTAAGAAAAAAATCACTAGTATTAGTTCACAATTAATACGAGTAGATGGAGTGCTTTTTCAGTCATATGCACTAGAAAACGCCTCGATATATTATTAAAACCGAATAAAGAAAAGTAATGCAATATTCTGAGTAATAAGCTACCTGTGCATTAGGAGTCCACTAATCTTTGGCACGCATAACATAGGCCAAGTACACCACTGTTTTCTAGTATTCGTGACTGAGAAAAGCATCTCGTTTAGCCACACTGCATCTTTTGTTCTCTATGGTCATTCACTTTCGCGCGCGAAAAGAATTAAAGAATTTTAACCTTCGAAATCATGCAATTTGTGCATAATGTAACGCACGAATCGTCAGAAAATAATGCTATCAATATTTCCAAAAGGTGACGAATTTCTTAAAGAGGTCATCGATTTAAGGATTTAACTATTATTTATTAAATATATTTCATTACCTTTAGATAATTAATTTTAATATATGAATCGTATAGGTATAAATCAGCTAATCGTCCCGAATTATGCAGGATCATGATGATGTATCCTAGAAAATGTCCTGCATTCGGTACGAGTTTAGGAACGAATCACGACAGTTAGAAGAATAAGTGAGTTAAAAACTTAAATTTTTTAAGAATTAGTAAACTCAAATTCAAACTCAAGTATGTTTAAAAAAAACATACATCTGAAAAAAATCATATCACGGAATAATAGAGGTCATTAAGTCATTTAAAATTTTTCTGTACGATTTTCTTCTATTTTGACTTAGAACAGAATTGTAACCTGATTCAGTTACTAAAATCACAGCCAATAGTGATTTCAGTTTTTACAGATTCAGATAGTTATCTATAACATATTCCTAGATATATCGTATGATCTTAAAGTTTTAGACAAGCTTTCAAATAATTTCTCGGAAATAAAACACAAAGGAAATAATGTTATTTTCTCCACTCTATAGAAAAATATATTATTTTATTAAATCTATACAAGGCAGTTATAACATTATCGAACTCGGTATGCGATTTGTACGTTATCTACTTCCTCGAATCCTTCAGCGTCAGTGTTGCGAATCGTTATAATGAGCAGTGTATTACTCTGAGGTAAATTTGTACATGAACAAACATACCTAAGTTTAATATATTATACCTATAGACTGGTGTACTATCATTGGTGTTTCGGTTTACAATATGTGCCATTCGATATTGTACTAAATTTCGAAATCATATTATACATTTTGGTGGTATTTGTACTTATTCTAAGGATTTAGAATTTATGCATTGCTAGTGGAATAAAGGTACGAACAGCACCTTACGTTCGATATCACAGTTTGGCATGAACATTTCGTTATTTTTAAAGATTGGAATTTTCTTATCGATTATATTTGATTTTTAATCTGTCATTTTTTTTTCTGATTATTAATATTTTAAAGCTTTCGAGATATTAGGGTACTATTGTCGGTGTTCCACGATCCCTAAGAGTCAATGAGCTATCTAAGATGTACAATTTCCTGATTACTGGTGTTCTATTTTTTTCATGTCCCGAATTTCCTAAATCTTGATACGCGATTTTCTTTTCGTCATTGATGTTCATACTGTCTATTCCTGATTTGCAATTGCTTATTTTTGGTATTCTATGATTGTTTGTTTTTGGTGTTTTCTTGATTGTTTTCGTTCAACATTCGATGTGTTTCTATTCTATGCGATGTATGTTTACTTGAATTTAAATATTTACAATTTATCTATTTGGAACTTTCAAAACCATTGAGAGGTAATCAAATAAATACTATGAACTTGTTTCATTCTGCTTTAAGTCTGAAATCTTTTTTTGTCGGATATTAGGTAATGGTTGAAAGTTGCTCGCTTCGCGAGTTTCTTCCTAATATTCTAGTTGTCTATATTTAATATTTGTATCCCTAGGAATGTATATTACTCGAATAAAGTCACTATTTCCTCTCCGTCGATACTGCTTGCGCCGAAGATTCGTGTTCGCGTTGATATCTGAAAGAAAGAAATTTTTTTAGAGAAAAATTCGAAGGTGACCTTTATTTAAATAGAACCATTTATTCGATGTCTAAAAAAGCGTTTGATTTATAGCAATACGAACGTTCATTTGCATGTTCTATGTAATGATAACGATCAAAGTCTACGGTATTACGATCAGTGCAAGCTAATGAATATGTAAAATGTTTCATATAAAGATAAAAGTACGTTACACTGTATAAAATAATCATTAATGCAACGATTACGAAACGGTCGTTTTGCCTTCCGATACTGCAGCAGTAATATTTTCTTTCTTAATCTCCGCACTCGAGATACGGATAAACATAAAAAATAGTTGAATTTAACGTTAGTGCATATAAAACTACTGTAAAAAGAATACGTTCTAGATCCTTCGAATTTACGTATTGCTAGCATATCGAATAGTTTCGATTAATTCATCTCATGACCCCTTTCCAACTATTGAACTTTTATTTGACCCACTTTGCTCTAGAGACGATAATATTGTCGGAAATTGTCGCAGTAATTCAAAGTATCTCGTCCTGTATATTCTACGATCGTTCAGACCAAGTTATTTAAAAGGAAATAACTCAATTCGAAATGCATTCTCGTAACGCGCCGTCGCGATCGTTATAAATAATGCATCGAGTATCGAACGAATAAATGGAAAAGGTAGTGTTAGACTTCCCGTATCATCATAAATAATTCCATCCAGCTTAATATCGAGTGCTTATCATCATAGACGCGGAGAAAGAAGTTTTATCACCGAGCTTAATTGCTGGTAGAACATGCGAGCGGCTTGTAGTTCGGTCGGAATAGATAAAATTAAACGTTGCCTTGAATTTCGCCCTGTTCTGTTATGCAAACCAGACATAATACGTTTGACTGAATATACAGCGTATCCCACGCATCTGAATAGAGGCATAGTGCAAAAGCAGTAGCAGAGAAAAAGAATTGAGAAAAATTGAACGATTTCCACGTGGTGCAAGTACGTTCCCCATAATCAAGGGTGTTTTTTTTAATACGTTAGTGGAACTATTTTGGCGGTAATAGTTTATATAATTTAAGGTCAAGTGTCAGAAGATATTTTCACTTATCATAAGAGATACTTACTTTATGGCTCTAGAAATTTGATATATAGACGTTATCGCGACGAAGAGATTAACGCTAAAAAGGCTCCAGTTTTTCGGTGTGATCGCTAAGGAATACCTAGTCCAGATTACACCCGTAACGGCCAAGGCGGATGATTGGCTAACGGATAGCTGATTTGCTGGCCTCTGCAGATCACCGAGGCCAGCTATCACAAGCCCCTGTAATTTGTAAAATTGTTTTAATGAGAAAAACATTGGCGGAAAGGAAATGTAAACAGTCGACAATAGGAAACAATTTCCTCGAGCAAGAGGCGAATAATGAAAGGGTCAACGAATTGGGTCAGACTGTATTTATTTTAAGGCTGACCTATTTCCAGCTAGATCGACCATATTTCGTTAAAGCATGCGCGCGTGCTAGATCTCAGCTACGGAATTCTTTCGTTCGCTTCGAATTTAAGATGTTCCGAGCTGCTTTCCCCGGGTGACGCGAATACGACAACTTTCGTTAATTTCCTTCGACGATTTATGCGGTGATTTGATGCGTAGTTACGGAAGTAAAAAAACCGTTACGGAATTATCAAAGGTGATCGTTATAACGGCGGTTCATTTCGCAAGGTCCGCCACGGCACGTGTCGACGTCGCATTTGGACCGAGTCCATTGCACGGGAACGCTACCTCCTCATACTTCGAGAAATATTTCTGTAACATGTCTATTTGCCAGCAACTTAAAGCCCCGCGTGTTTGACTGCCTTGAAACAAAATTGACTTGTTTACAGTGGATAATATATCTGTATGCATGTACATAAAGCAACCGAGGATTTTGTCGGGAAACGTGTCGCGTTTCCTGTGATCATTCCGAACAGTGTTATTACTTTAAAGAAAGATGTATATCGAATGTAACATTCAGGGTGACGTTGTAACTTCAAAATTATTACTGACCCATTTAAAAGCCGGTGCCCAGAAGAATATAGTCTGCGGACCTGAAAGGGGAAAATAGGTCGATACTGCTGTTACGTTCTTTCTTTTAATGATTTCTGTATGGTGTGATATTCTTGACGGTGTCAAAAAAAAAACTGACGACGACACGATCTATGGACACGTTCCATGAACTTTGAAAATAACATATCAATTCGTGGTAAAACTATTGTTTCATTGACGGGACATAAATGCACGAGTCCTTGAACCGACTCGTCAACGTTGCTAGAATATAAAGCAACGTGTTACGAGGTGTCATTCATTTGCGTACCACGCGCGCACACACAGAGAACGGCGATGTGTACACTCGAATTAGCAGTACGGTACACAGAGCTCGGTATACGTAGATGCTTGAATTTCGTACGAGTCGCGGAAGTGGGTTTCTTTTTTGCTAATCCCGGCCGAGTGCACGTTTCACGGCCCTGCGAAGCTCATATGTTCCCGGCACGTGCCACGGTCTGACAAATCTGCAGAAGCATTTGATAAGCTTTACTAACCAGCTGGATGATTCCACAGCGGCTGGAACTTCTCGGGCACGCACTTGCCAATCGTTTGAATCGATTTCTTATATATAGCCGACATTGTTCTTTTTCGCGCGTTCACACGTAGAAAACGCCCAAGACGAAACTGGAAAGAGATCTGCTCTAAAGAACGAGTGAACGTGGAAATGACAAGCGGTCACGACGATCCGCACACTGAGACTGAATATCGCGAAGTGCAACGATTGGTAGCCGTGCTGCCTCTACGGGTAGTCGACCCTTTCCTTTCCCCGCTCAGATTTCCGGAACCTAAAGCACTACGGTACACATACACACACGTATGAACCATATCTGTTGCTCTGTCCGTGTCTTTACAACCGCACACTACGTCAGACATTATTTAGGTTTCATTGAGTGCACATGACATTCTATCGATCGATGGCGACGGATAATCCCACTAATATACTAATTAACGCGTAATTATTTACATTTAGATGTATCTCGACGATCGTAATCGACACTCTTATCTACGCACGAGCAATCTTACGAATCTTCTGATCGATCTAATTGCATATTAGTGAAAAAAGAATCCACCGAGAAATTTAGAAGATGCATGTATGTATTTGTAAAATACAATATCAGTAAATATTATTTTCTTTGCCACTAAATTCCTTTTATGAACTATATTATAGACTATCGAATTTATCGCAACACGAAAAGATATCTAACGGTAGATAAGATTATAATAGAGAATCGGAATTTTGAAGTGCTATCTCAGCAATTATCAGTATTTAATTTAGCTACAGAGGCGGTATGTCTGTTATTCAATGTCATCGATACATCGGCACGCGCGCGAACCTTAGTTCATAAAACGTTTACGTTTCTGTTTTACTTTACGAGTTTTTTTTCTCAAGCACGATTATGCAGATAACACGTTTCATGTACGGGAATCTTTTATGCACGTTAATGAAGTTGATCTTCCGAGTTTACCAATAATGATACTATCTGTATACATAGTGCAACGTGTCAGTCGACATTGGCCTAGAGGATAAAATTGAACACTCGATCCGGTGCCAAGTCGTGCATGCATATATCGCATCGTCACTTTCTTACGTCTTCTATTAATATTATTAACCACGCGGGGATGTCATGCATCGCGATGCAATCCATAAACGTATTTCCTACTCCGGGACCATTGATCTTAAGAGACCACAGAGCGTGAAGGTGTATTTACATGGCTTTATTTACATTAAAATACATACAGTTTTTTTAACATCGAGTAAAATGCATAAGTTCGAAAATAATACAATAAATGCTATAAAAGATTGAGCTCGACGAGTGAACGCAACTCTGTTGTTTGCTGAGCAAGTAAGGTTGCCCCGCTCATGAGCATCGGTATTGTTCATCTCCCGCAAAACTGCACCGCAGTTACGAAATACACTGATCGCGTGTATTCCTATATCACAATATTGATAAACGTTTCAATGTATACGTGGACCACGCTTGATTGCACGCAAAATATACATGTGAATACACATGCAGTATTTAAATTATCTAAGATTCTATATAAAATAATTGCGTACAGATACATTATCTGTTACATATTATCGTTCTCTTATATACGTAAGTATTTATCTTATTGGAACATCCAGAATTATTAGGCCATTCTAAAATCACGTGTGGAATGCGTTCATGACATTTTATGTTTTGTAAATCAATTGTAGCTTTATTCTTAAGTATCAGATCACTGAGAATGTAAAACTCGACACGAATGTATGGAATGACCTAATGGTATAGTAGAGCCAAACAGATCCAAGCACTGAGACATAGGATACAGTATAAAAACGATTTATCAAAAAATTGTTCAAACAAAATAAACAATAATCGCATTACACGATTAATTTTAATCGATACGACTGTACATGTATGTGTCATAGATTTTTAGGATTTTTTCGGTTTTTATACGTAGCATATAAAATAAGTATGAATTATAAATGTTTTCTAAATGGAGTTATGTCATAAATTGACAGTTGAATCTACAATTAAATTACCCAATTACCGCGACCGCCCCTATTACCGGACAGTGAACTAATTTTTTAAAGTTTAAAATAAAATTAAAATCTTTCATTTCGTAAATAAGAAGTAAAGTAATAATCTTTTTGCAAAATAAAAAAAATAATATATAGAAATAAGTATCACGCCACTTTCGTAATTTCTCTATTTTTAATAAAATAATAAATTCATTGTCTTCACTGTACACATGCCCGGTAATTGGGTTCCTTACTAATATGTACAAATATATTACAAAATTTAACGCAATTTATGAACGAATTCTTACTTCCCTCTAAATATGTGTACTATACATTTAAGGCACGTAGTTTGAAATAAAAATGAAAAATATTATTAAAGATATGGATCTTTTCCACAATTTATATAATATAACAAAATGTAACAAATTTGAAACATAAGTTTCGAATTAAAAATATTAATTTTTTTTTTTAAGTTAAATTTTTTAATTTATCACGAATATATAATTATTATTTCGAGTAATTCGAATTAACAAAAATTACTTCTAAAGAATTTTTTTTTTAGTGATATTACGTTACCTAATTCAAGGAAAACACAAATGTTTTGTATTAATAATCACACCTGCGTATAAATTTCTTATTAAATAGTAGAAAATAGAAATGTGGTACAGTTTCAACATTATAGTATATGATTGAAATATACCTTACCCTTTAGGTATTTACAATTATATTTATTTTATATTGCAATAATACTTATTAAACAATCTGTAGTCAGTTATGTATATACACATATTTCATACATTATTATACTGATATTATAGTGTGATTATTTGACGTATAAAACGTAAAAAAAGGGTATTTGTACAAATAGTAAGTAGAGTAAAATGCACAAATTACGTTCAGTAACTTGCCACAATTAAAAATATTTGTTAATGGCACAAATATCTTGCAATATGTAGGTAGATCAATAGTTTGCAAAATCTTTGAGAAAATTTTACAGTTTCTAAAATACGGTATAAAAAAAGCAGTCAAAAATGTAACTATGATTATTGTATACACATGTAAAGATGTGTAAAAATACGAGATCCATTTATTTTCTGGTAAATGCAAGTGGCAGTGGAGATAGAATTACTGGCGGTATAAGTGGTATGCAAATTCACTTATCCTGTAATCTAATCGGCATAAATCATCTGCTTACTCGGTATCATCCGCGAATATCTACATTGTACTTTCCTATCTATGTTTCAGTTCGATGTAATAATAGTTACATGTACCATTCACAAATCTCAACTCGACAGTTTTGCTTAAATATAAGTAAAAACTTTTATAAAAAAGAACTTCTTGCTCGCGATAATGTTTACAGTTATTGCACCTTTACAATAACAAAATTTAAAATTCAATTATAGCAGTCATGGTTAATTAAATCCACATAACGTGAATGTACTAATAGAACCATAAATGTCGACCGTAACAAACTTTGTAAAATCGGTAGATATGCATACTTTAGCAAAAAAATTCGAAGGTAATTCGACAACAGCCAATAACGCTTGCTGTTTCGGGTCTTTGCCTTCGATAAATTTCCAGTACTTACTTTGATGATTATGTACACCGTTCACAGTGGTATTACCTTCCAATTGATCTTCCGCGTTGTATATTTTTGCGTCTACACTGTAACTGCTGGACATATGTAAACTGGCATTTGCACTTTGACAAACTGAAGGAGAACTGACACTGCGATTAATTTTGTCTCTTCTTCTCTTGTTCTCTTTATGGGCGCGTATAGCCGGTGCAATATTCCACCACACTATCTCATCAGAATTTACAGAGAGCAAAACTGGGACGCCAATTACAGACGGTGCCCAATACAATTGAGTAACAGATGTTGTATGAAAATATAATTTGTCTATTTCTTCACGTATTGATATATCAATAATCTGGAAGCAAACAACGATGTAAGAACACCCTATCAATAGTCATAGAAATGACCAATTTATGGAGACAACTTACAGAAATATCTCCATTTTCAAAGCCAACAGCTAAATATTGTTCTTCCTGCGAAATGTCACAATATGTCAGCTTATGTATATATCTTTTTCTAAAATATTCAGTAATTTTTATACAAGCTGGTGATGTTATCGTATCTTCTTGTAGCTTATATAAAATGACATCTCCAGGTTCGTTTAACACTGCTAGAATAATTTTCCAATAACTTAAACAACTGAAAGTAGTGAGAATATCCGAGCTACCAATAGATACTCTGTCGGTTCGTAACCAATTAGTACCATTGATGCTCCAAAGTGTTATAATACCGTTTCGTGTAATTGTCAGTAGATGTTTTTCACTTATCTCGTGAATTGAAATAACATATCCGGCATTTTCAACTAAGTATGTTAGTTTTGTGCTTTGCCAGACCTACAACCGACATTTTACCAATATTTATTAAACAAATATAATTAAGATATTGTAATTACCAATATAATGAATTCTCGTGATCTTACCCTTAAATTATCATCTGTCTCTCTGCAAACAATTATACTATTGTTTTGTACGTTTAAGATCTTTATTAATTCTATGTTTTGTAAAACATTCAGTATATGCATAACTTCGTTCTTCTCTATATCAAACAAAGAGATAGTACCTTTATTTGTAACAAAAACTACTTTCTTTCTATCCGATGAAAGGATCAAGTTGCATATTTTTCCATTGATTGGTTTAGTTTCTGCTATTATTTCATCGCCGACTAATGCAACAATAGTATTTGAAGGAGTTTCTGTAATAATAACGTCCGGTTGACCGAACTGTTGAACTGCTGCATCAAATAAAGGTTTTCTTATCGATTTAGAAATTCCTTCTACTGGAAATTTCCATTTATGAAGCAATCGATTTTCACAACCGCAAATAATATGAAATCCTTTTTCTTTTAACCAATATGTATCCAAAGAAGAAATACGACATTTGTAAGTGGCTATTAGTTGTGTTCCAGCATTTGCATTCCATATATTTATAAAACCACTGGAATCAGCCAAAACTAAGAATTGGCCATCGTACGTTAACGTAGCGCAGACGTAAACGATCTTTCTATTTTGAATAGTTGCTCTTATTTGTTTATCATAAGTGTGCATATGGTCATTGTTTGTCCTGAACCATTTTATATATACAGCTTTATCTTCGGTAACGATGCATAAGGAATTATTCTGTTTTGGAACGTTGCAAAAAAAGATAATTTTTTTCGTTTGCAAGTTCGGATTGTACTGTGATAGATATTTGTACTCTGCACCATATCTACAGTATGATATTAAAACACCATGTGTCTCATCCATCACGTGAAGTAAATTGCTTTCCATAGAGAACACCACACTTTTAAGACAACTGCTGTTCTGTGGATTATGGCTGTGCTCTGACAATATTACTCCATATCGATTCCAAATTTTTATTGTCCCTCTGTTTGTACAAACTGCAATATATTTACCATCATGTGCAAACGTCATGTCTTGTATAATTTCCCCATCAACAGAAAATGCTATCGAGCTATCATCATGGGGTATCTTGCTAGCAAATATTCCATTCCAAAATGATTGTTTTTCTCTTGGTCTTAATAGAACACGATTTTGATCATAACTATCATCATGGGAGAGTTCAAAAAGTTTTACTATTCCGAGATCGTCCAACGACAGAAAACAGTCGCCTTCTGTTGATATAACAATCTTCCTAATGCCACAATTTTTATTATGTCCACTGAAAACTTTGTGTGTTTTATAAATACTATCCCACAAAAATATTTCGCCTGCTCCATTTCCAATTAGAATTAAATCTGGATCATGGACAAAGCATGATGTACGAATTTCTGTTGATATTTCTTCGCTCCATGGTCTATTCAATTCTCCTAATTTTTTGTCATGAAACAAATACAAATTTTTAGATCTTTCTCTTGCAAGTTTAATGGCAGTGTCTCTGATATAACCCTCATAAGGATGATTCATAGCAATCTGTACTATATCCAAGCAGTTTTTGTATTTATGTTTTACTATAATGCTTGTTTGCTCGTCTAAAAATCTTTGCAAATCATTAAATTGTGTTACAAACATTGGATCATAATCCCTTGTAATATGTTCTCTGTAATTGTACAGATCGACTAACAAATTACTTAAACCACTGTGAATTATTGTTGCTTGAATGAAATCAAAATTTAAGTATATATTAGACAATTCATCATATAATTGTGCCTGTTCCAAGTGATATCCAATGTATGAGTAACTATAAGTATCACTTGGAAGTTTCGAGAAATCGCCATTGCAGCGTTTACGATATTTTTCAATTAATGATTTGTGCATTTTTACTAATTCAACTTCTGAAAACCTTTTCTGAAGATGATAAAGTAATAAATCATGAACGCCATATATGTAATGATGCAATTTATTGTTCCATTGTTTGGCTGCAAGAGATTTATGGCATAAATCTAGCATTATTTCTTCGACTTCAAATGTACTTCTCCCCCAAAGAACCTCCAATGTCTGTGGTGTTATATTGATATCTTCTCTAAAAATAACTAATTCTTCATAACGTTTTCTCATTTCGATAGATAGTTGCTCTATACACATATTAAAAATTGCTTCTTGTTTTTCCAGGAATAGTTTAATGACACGATTTTTTTTGTCTTTATTTCTTAACGAATTTAAATAATATCTCCATCTATCTGGACGTAATTTCATGTCATGTTTAAATTCTTCAAATTGGGTGGCAAACATAGCTATTAATAAAGGCATGCCTTTACATTCATCGTGAATGTGTTTTGCTTCAGAAGGTAGTATTTCCACTTTTGTATCCAATACTTTAGCAAAAAGACTCAAAGTTTCTGTTTCAGTGAACCCGTCTAACAACTCGAACACGGTAATTTTTTTTTCCCATATAACATCAAGGTTGGCAGTGATAACCAATGTTTTGCATTCAAAATCAAATGCGTCGATTATTTTGCTATTGTAAACATCGTCTAAAATTAACAAAGCATGACGATGTTTTTTTTTATTAAAATGATGCTTCAAGAAATGAATTAATGAATCTGTTAGGGGCTCTGGTTTAAATAACCCCGGTAACATTTCTAAATTCTTAACAAGGCAGTAAAGTTTATTCAATTGAATTAGGATTTCTTCATCAATTGGACGTTCGTATCCGAATTTTATCCAATATATTTCACTCTGATAAAAAAAAAAATTAAATATATTTTCCATATCATAACTTAGTCTTTTATACAAAAAGACAATTTATTCGCAAAAACTTACGTGAAACGAATTTTTTACGAATTCTTTGTCTTTCAATGTGCAAGCTGTTAAACAAGATTTCCCAAACCCCTTCATTCCATGAAGTACAACATATTCATTTCGTTGTAACTGTTCCAAACAGTATTTTAGATCTAGTATCTGGAGACATGAAATATTAATTTCATTTTATGAAAGATATTGTATATGCTACTAGCATAACATAGCAATTACCAATTTCTTTTTAAAATTACTTTCATAATTTATACATTTTTAATATTACAATAAAAGCTAGATTATTTGAGGTAATATGAATCTAAACTACTACTAATAGGAAGTAATAATTAAGAATCCACTGTAGATTGGTTTATTCCTTACCTTTTGTTCTCTACTCACAGTCAATGGTGAAATTGCAGGAAGAATGGGTGGATGAACATGTTGCGGATCATCTACAGTCTTTACCCTTTTTTCCAGTCTATCCATTTCCTCGCTGAGCCATTTGTAGTGGTGCCGTAGAGCTTCACGAAAATTATCAAATGCAAATGGACCTCTACTAAAAAATCCAATAATATTTTGACATATAATTTTTGTGGATGATATTTACATTATTTACCAAAACGTATTGTCACAAATTTAATGGTAAAAATTTATACCTTGGAAGTATATCCAATAAAATCTTAGCCTTCTCTTGTTTGGAATGCCCAACACGAATCTGCTCTATATGATCGTCTTTTAATATGGAACTTGACTTTAATGGTTCTATAATACCATTAAATACATCCATATCAGCAACTATGCTTTCTCGTAGATTTTTAAGGATGTTCTGATGTAATTCATTCATTTTTGTGGTGTTTATGTATGACATATCACATTTTCTGTCACATATTTTATGGTGAGGTTATCTGTATAGAGAGACTTATCATTAGTAAAAAAAAAGGAGTACTTAAGCACTGTATGAATATAAAGAATACTGTTTGTTTTCTGTAACTAAATATAGCTTTTCAAGGTTCCCATGTCAAATAAACCTTGACAACAATGCTTCTACTTTACTTTTGAAATAATGAATGAAAATTAAAGACAGTTATAAAAATATACGAATCTAAGATATCGTTTGTAATAAATGTGTAGAAGCGTGTTTTTAAATATAATTTTCTGTAAAGAAATGTTGCTGCAAAATAATATTAATGAAAAAATACGTTTTTAATCGATTTTCCTGAAATGTAGATCGTAATAACTTTCACTTCTTTAAACACGTAATCAAGACAATGTATTCTTTATATATTAATACAGTAACTAATATCTTCAAGATCAAGTTTAAAAACTAGACGAATACTGCGGTCAATGACTCCAAAACGTAGTTCGAATATAGGTCTTATGGTCATTTGAATTTAAGTTCATTGAACATTGTTTAATGCTGGAATTTACCTTATAGACTTTCATCATCGAAAGTATGTCTCTACGTTTTACGAGGCCTTTGTTTGGAAAACTGACTAATATACCATTCAACTATAACGTATCACCTGACAACTAAGAAGTAAATTGACACAGCATTGCTTGCGTTAACGCACAAGCCACTGTTGTCAGATCTACACACGAACTTCGTATCTGATTGGCTGCCACTAGCAGTCTGCCAGTATCGTACGATATGAGTTTACCGCCCTTTTTCAGTTTTACAAAAAAATGTTTTCTAAGTCAAAGCAATATTACAAAGCCTCTAGAAACATGATAAACGATATCGTTACAAATTGTTGAAGCTATCACACATGTGTCACAAGAAAGAAAGTATAGTTGACGAAGTATACTTGATGTACTGCTGAAACGTTAACAAAATTTATGCAACGAAGAATACGTATTGAATAAAGAACGAAATATTATTTGTAGGAATTAAGTGGAAAGAAATAATACTTGTTTAAGTTTTTAACATTTTTTAATAAACGTAAACATTCATTTTTTAAATAACAATCCGGTGGAAATATCACTCCGATATGGTCTAGTGGCTAGGATACCTGGCTCTCACCCAGGAGGCTCGGGTTCGATTCCCGGTATCGGAAATTACTTTTTTACTGAAATAATTGTACATATCAATAATAAATCAATATTATATTTTTTGAACAAAATATTTTTAGTAACAAATAATTATGTTTTTTAAATAAATTTTACAAAAAAGAATAAACACTGCGATGGCCGGGAATCGAACCCGGATCAACTGCTTGGAAGGCAACTATGCTCACCATTACACCACCATCGCAGCTGAGATTTACAGAACCTATACGAAAACACAAATAAAATATTGATTATCCTAGGAAGAAAAATATATCCTGCGATGGCCGGGAATCGAACCCGGATCAACTGCTTGGAAGGCAACTATGCTCACCATTACACCACCATCGCAGTTGACAACATATATCACGTGGAGCAACATGAGGTCGCCACTGTAATAGGAAATTTTGTACAAAGAAATATATGTATCGCCATAAAGGAGGTATGGAACAAACTTACTACCTAATAGAAGAATCTAATTCAAAGCCCCCTCATCATTTCGATATCAAATTTAATGTTATCGAATAAGATTACTGGCTGATGGCGATAAGAGTTGAAACAAATAGATTCAGGACATATTCTATGCCCGATTTATTCTCTGTCTTATTGTCAGAAAAATCACAAAGTTTAATATTTCTTTCTCTGTTCCACAATCTAGGATCATAAGAAAGTGAGATGGCTGACGCTGCCCTCCCCACTCTTGCGCCATCTTACAGAAGGCATATGTAAGACCGCAGCATCCGAAATTTCTCACTCTGCTGTCGGACTCCGAGGAAGGTGGACGTGCTTTTTGCACGTGTTGCGATCATCCTTTGCTGACCGGTAACACCGAGTTAATGACTACGAATTTCGAATTGTTTCTTGGGATATCGGATAAAATCATTGTCAATAGCAATATTGCCTTCTATCTGGAGTTTCTGAAGCCGTTCAAAGTATAGGAGCTCACGTACACGTGGCTGAACATTAATGTGCGTAAGTGGAGGAGCAGTTTCTGGGTGCCAGTCTGGTAATACCGGCTTTATCCCTAAAAATGAAAAAAGTTTAGAACTCCCTAATACCCGGTGTACAAAATCTCTTTAGTCGTATGAGCGCGACTACTCGTCGACTTTGCAAAATACGCGTTCATTACGTGTTGTTTGGAGGAAACTTTCCGAGGACTTATCGGAGTAAAGCTTTCGTTGAAACGATGTATCGTAAATTATTTGTTATTCGAGAACAAAATTTATTATGATTACATTTACTAACTTGTATATTGAATATTTCTTAAGAGAAATATTGTAAGTCGTATGGTAGGTTCGTTCCTGTACAATTTATTCGCGCGTTTTATCGATACTGTGCAATATGGGCCTATCACTTTGTCACAGAGTGTAAGTTTCGAAACATCAAACTCTATTCAATCGACACCTGCCCGTTGAGAGATTAAATTATTCTTGAATAATCCCGGCAGCCGCCGTAACTGGAGTCGTTATTGTCAGCGATACGAGATTGCGGAAATGAATTATTTGATTAGTATAGTCGGCCATTCGACGCTGACACGTATAGGTGAGCGCCCGTTGTATCCGATGCATGCGAGACAAGCTGCAAATTCGATTACGTTAGAAACAGCATTTGGCGCTCAGCCCGCATTAGCCGTGCATTGGTTACTTGCCCGATTAATTTGTCGCGGATTCACTGTTGCGAGCAACTGTGCCATTTTCCCGGTATCCGATACGCAAGTAGTAACCGCGGAGAAATCGATAGAGCGTCCGGTCATAAAGGTGGCACGTTTCTAATTAAATGGAGAAACACCGGCGCGGAACGATGCACCGAAACAATTACAATAACAATCCGAATTCATGGCCCAACGGGGGTCACGGACATATTTCGCATCACCTGCAACGGGGTAAACGAAAGAGGCAAGCCCTGTGACGAAACGAGGTTCGATCGATCGAGCGTCTAGAAGCCTTTTTAAATTATAGATCTAGGGCGAAACAAAGAATATTTATATAATTTTGTTTCGACTGTAGTTCGATTCTAGCTCAAGTTCAGAACACTTTACAAGACTCACATTCAGAATTCTGTCAAAGTATTTTAACCCCTTCCTGTACTTTAACTAGTCTGACTCGTGATGAAGATTTTGGCCCAAACATGAATACCATAAGCCAGACTCGCGGGCAGCAAATGACGATCGTGATTGAGTTTCAGTTCCTATCGGTACGCCACAGGAGTCGGTCACGATTCTTATAATCTCTGTTACAAAGCAGTGTTAGCATCAGTTTGGTATGTTTACCGCGCGTTGACGCCTACCGTTTGGGCCCGGATTTCGTCCAGCAAAATGCCACGGGAGGAGGTTAAAAAGAATTACCTCGTTTAAATTCCAGACTCGAAAGGGTTAATATACCGGTGTTCTGTTCTTTAATTAACAAGACCTCGTTGGAAAAAGAGCAGCGTCGTGCGTGATTCACGTTGTACCCGTGGATTTGCATATCGCGTGTGTAAAGAGCGCGGACGCGCGGGTTGCCCCAGTGCAGGCGCAAACACGATTCATATTGTTCGGGCAAGAATTACGCCTGTCCCGCTTATTTGCTTCCCCCTCCCCCCCGGGCTGCTTCTAACTGCTGACGATCAAACGACGGAGTTTCCAGGCGAGTCGGTGTCCGACTTCCGGGGCTCCTTCCTTTTTCGCCCGCGAATTTATGTCCGCGGGCCGACAACGCGAGATTACTCGGAAGTTATACGGCGTATCTGGCGTTCGTGGCCATCCCTTACCCGGGATCGGCCGCGATAGCTTTTCGCGCACCAGTTTCGCGAAAGTTTCGCGGTAACTTGCCAAACGCGAGTTCGTTGGCCCCGTTCCCCCTCCTCCCACCCCCTGTCGTTATTTATTTACGTTTTGTTTGGCCAACGCCGGGGAACGAGGATCGCGCGCTCGCCCGCGAAAGAAATACGGGCCCGGATCGAGCAAATATCGTATGGTTTAATAGGATATTCGGTGTCGAGAGGCGGTTGTTCGGCCATTGTCTGATCCACTCCCACGCGTCTCGCTCCCGTTTCGCCTCCGCAAAGCCCAGGGCGATCCGCGGGAGGGTAAATTCAAACCTCTTAGGGGTTGATCGATCGACACTAGTCTAAGCACTTCAAATAGTGTGATCGTGGTATGCGACCAGGAATGGCAATAACGTTGATAGGATAGTAATATGATTATCACGTGCGCAAGAGGACAGATAATGGTGCTACACGTATAATTAGAGATGGGATTGAAGAGCCGGATAAGGGGGGGGCGGGTGGGGGGAAAGGCACAAGTATAATGTCATGCAAATACACCTCGTCGCCCGGTCCGCCAGGAATAGAGTGCATTAATCCGCTAATGCACATGGGCCCCGTAAAATTAGATTCGGCCAGATTTAGTTGGAAATGCGATATTTCAGTGTCGACTGAATTCCGAACGACTCTGCGCCGACGGAGCTCGTTTCTGCGGGGCCCGGTCGGCGTAAAACGTTGTTACTCGTGAAGCAGATTAATGCCGACGCACATGCGTCCGTCCGTTCGGCACCGTGCGCGTTCTCGATCGATATAGCGAACCGCCGCGTCCTTAATGCGGCATTAATTCAAAAATTTACGATCACCGATACGCGACCGGCCCGCGAACCTCGCATTCATACGCGGGATCGCGTTATCGTCCTAACGCGCGGATATTCCATGCTCGGATTAGCATCGTCGCCACGATGCCAATTTAATTTAACGGGATCACCGTACACACTCATAAATCGACGATTAATTAATAACGTGTTCCAAAATATAACGCGGTGCCACCGATTTTATCGTTATTTCTACGACGCGTACAACTTTTATACTTTACATTCCTATTTCCCAAACGACTCTATAAATTATACAAATTCGTCCGAGTTGAAGATTTTTAACAGGCCTGTAAAATTACTTGCTTACTTTTGGGCGATGGAAACGTATCAAATAAATTTTACAAATGGTTAGAATGATGTGAAAGGGCGAAACACAGAGCTCCAAGGTGGATCAAACGTTACACGAATTTATGGAATAAAAGTCCGACGCGAGCGACCATTTTTAGCCCAAAGGTCATCCATCGTACGGTACGTTTTTCTCGTTGCCTTTTCCCCGGGCTGAAAGGCCTTTCCATCGAGTCGATATCGAACGATAAGAGCGATCGTTCCCGGAGAAATGTTCGCGTTTCCTTGCCACTTTATTTCCTGCCGTAGCTATGGCCTCTTTGCAGTCGTCTTTAACGATCTTCGAATTCCACGTGCGTGGCTCGATCCTATCGTAACGAGCTCAGCAACGGTACAATGAATTTTCTTTACTGCTCGTCAAAGAATTTCTTTCGTTTCAGACGTATCAAGGACGCCCACAATCCTCGTCTATAAGGAAAATGCGATTCTATACTTATACCTCGCGCGGGATATTAGCATCTCAGCT